ATTTAAATTGTGTTTTGTTAATGTGTTTCCCAAATGCTAAATGCCACGTAAAGATTTTGAGTACAGATATGGCAATGGCGGTGCACGATTGCCTGTCCAGAACGTCCTGAATAGACAGAATTGCAATCAAGTGAAACAGAATTCAGCCAAGTCACAGTTCTGCCAGTCCCAACAGCTGAGATGTGTGAGTAGAATCGTGTCGTATTTTAAGTAACAAATATGTTTCAGTTGTCAAGATTGGTTGAGATATTTTGTATGAAGTTGGCACATGTGTTGTACTTAATATTCTTCGTCTCACTCGATTAACACTATTTTTTGAATTGAGAATTTAATTCCAGAACGTTCAATCGAGTATCCCCAATGTATTTTGATCAACATCAGTCAGGGGCCATAACTCTGAAACCACTTTTAAGATAATGCTAAAATCAATAGGGATAATCTTTACCCTGATACTAACTTTACATATATACATCTACATGAAAATTTGGTCAAATCTATCAAAATGGACCAAAAGATAAGGGTAACAACAATATAAAAATGTTTTAAAAACAATGGCTAAAATCAAACCTTAAAGGAGCTAATTTGCTATTCTTTGGCAAATGAACACAAATGGGTCGCAATGTATATAACAATGTATTATGAATGTATATAATAATGTATTATGAATGTATATAAACTGATTTACATTCAATTGTTTCTATTTTTATACGGCCACATGGAATTGTTGTCGTATATTGTCGTCGCCCCTGTCCGGCCGTCGTCCACAATTCCTTGTGAACACTCTACAGACTACATTTATCATCTGATAGTGAGATGAAGAATCCTATTATGGCCCATGTTTCACTTTGTTGCGCCTTGTGAAAGCTCTAACAATACATGCATCATTTGAATTAGTGAAACGAAGAAGTCAATTGGATTTCAGCAATTTACGTTAATGACGTCTAGAGTTATGGCCCTTGTTTCACTTTGTAGAACCTTCTGAACACTCAAACGACAAAAGTTAACATTCTATCTGTATGAAATTGATATGCATCATTTAAATTGGTGAAACAAATTTCAACATTTTCTGTTAATTACTTCTAGAGTAATGGCCCTTCTTTCACTTTGTTGAACATTGTGAACTCTCGAACAACAAAAGTTATCATTTAAAGTAGTGAAACAAAGATGCTGATTGAATTTCAACAATTTACATTACTTACTTCTGGAGATATGGCCCTTGTTTCACTTTGCTGGACCTTGTGAATGCTTGCAGAACAAAATTTTTCATCTGTTTGAAATTTATATGCATCATTTAAATTAGTGAGACAAAAAATCCAATTGAATTTCAGTAATTTCTGTTACGAGTGATAACAGATACACGAGTGATAACAGATACACGGGCAAATTTTTGCTCAAGAATAATTCCTTCAAAGACCAAATGTTGTTATATGGGACTGTGGGAGGATATCTGACAATTCAAAAAATAATTGACTGTCACTAGATAAGAGAAAAATAGAAAAACTCCCTGCTCGTTTTCCTTTATCTAGTGACATTCAATTACTTTTTTGAATTATCAGATATCCTCTCATAGCCTCACATAACAACTTTTGGTCTTCGAAGCCCTTGTATCTGTTATCACTCATCACTTCAGTCAATTATATAGAACCATGGGCGTCACACATGGGGGGGTCCGACCCCCCCAATTGTTTATTTATTTACAACAATTATTAGGATTAGTTAATCTATGGTAGCAATGATCTCTGTGTTAAAATTATATTTTGAACGTGTTTAACAAATTCTATGTGATAATGACAGACATCAATATTGTCTTATAAATATTGGATATCCGAAGCCCATCTTTTCACGGTAAGATAATAACATCAATGTTAATTTAAACTGACCAATAAGTTGTGTTTGCAATGTCAAAGACTGGATGATATTGAGTTAGCGATTTGCCGATCTTTTATTTACCTAAATCACATCTTACAAAGCAATTATTAGTACAATATTCATATCAAACAGAATAATACAGCTTTCATTTTAATGATGAGCTGTCTGTAGATGTCAATTATATGTGGAATAAGAATTGTCAAATATATATATTTATATATATTTCACCAATTACACACCAGTTACATGTCAACTTAACATACAGTTATGACATCAATGCTATAGTATGATGTCATTATCATTGTTGGGATAATGAAGATGTAATGAAATGAAATGAAATGGGGTTTAACGTCCTATTGATCTACTCCGACAGGGCTAATGAAGACAGGTATATGCCATACAGTGTGCTATGACGGAAATTTTGCCTGGGCAGCGGCACTATGGCCTACTCTTATATCAAATTCCAACTGCCAAGGGATCTTTTATGCGCATGCCAATGTATACATGGGACCTTGGTTTTTGGGCCCATCCCAACGACTAGACAGCTGTCCTTGTCAGGCCCTCCTTCTGGCACCACTGACAAGGGGAAACCACATCGTCAAATCCCAATAAACTTTCTAGGCCAATGCAGGGATCAAAAACGCGACCTCCAGGCTAGAGAGCCAGCATCTTACCTACTTAGCCACCATAACTTCTCTAATATAATGAAGATAGGCATATAGCATGCAGTGTGCTATGAGCGAAATTTTGCCTGTACAGCGGCATTTCTGCCTACTCTTCATGGTTTCCCAACTGTCAAGGGTTCTTTTCCAGGCCCTCCATTCTATACCATTAACAATGGGAAAACCATCTCGGCCATCACCAGGATCGAAATGAAATGAAATGGGGGTTTAACGTTTTACTGTTCTGCTCCTATACTGAGCTAATGAAGACGGGCATATGCCATACAGTGTGCTATGAGGGAAATTTTGCCCGGGCAGTGGCACTATCGCCTACTCTTATATCGAATTCCAACTGTCAAGGGATCTTTAACGTGCATTCCACCAGGATCGAACCACAGTACTCCTTGTTAGTGCGCCAGGACCTTACCCACTAAGTCACCATTCTTCCCATTGAATTTGGGCCCTCAGCAACTATTAATAATCCTTTAAATGAACAAAAATCTATACTGGACCAATGGTAGGGAGTCGCAGTGACTCAATCTGTCGAGCACTGGCTTGCTGACCTTGAGGTCCCAGGTTCGACCCGGTGTTGGCCACAAAAGTTCCTCAGGATTTTCCTGTGTGTTCCCTTTGTAAGTGATGCAGGGCAGAGAGGGGCTGGCAAGGAACTGTGTTAAGTCATTCGGTTGGTATGAAAAAAAACAACCAAGGTCTTGTGTACACCTTGATGAGCACATAAAATAACCCTTGACAGTTTGAATTCAATTGCTATTCAGGGAAATAATTTGCCGTTATAGCACACTGCATATCTTTATCAGTCTGGTAGGAGCAGAAAAGTAAGATGTTAAGCCCCTTCTGTGTGAACCAAGATTGTGCCCTTAAAAGCTTAAGTCCATTCCCAAATCCTAATTGTAGACCTACATGCATTGGTGCTGAATAAACTCTTAAAGGGGCAGGGAGATTAGATGCAGAGCTGGCAGTTCACACTATAATAGTTAAAAACTAGATAATGTAAAGGGAATTTGCTGAAAAAATTGATCCACTCTGAACCGAGATATTAGCTTTTGAATTTTAGGTCTAGCCTCGATCATCATTACTAAAGTAGGTATGATAAAAAGGATAGTCTTGATTATCCATTTTTGGATTAAATCATCAGTGAGCGTTGTGCAGCAAATCGGATTCAAATCCAGTAAATAGTGCAGGCTAGCGATGACATCGAGAGTTGATTATAGTCTGGATAAGTTAATTAATGTCTAGTTAATAATTTAGATAATATTTAAAGCCTACAGAAAGACCTGCAATAGGCAGATTTGGCTTTTGCATAATGTATGTTTAAATGCAAGAGCTAAATCTGCCTATTGCACGTCTTTCTTTAGGCCTGAAATGTTATCTGAATTATTAATTAGTTAACTTACCAAGACCATAATCAGCTCTCGGTGCCAACGGATGCCTGCAATATTTAGTGGATTTAAATATGTTTTGTGCTGGATGCGGTTACCGTGAAATGGATAATCAAGATTTTGTGTATTATCATAACAACGGTATTAATGATAATCGAGGCTTGCCAATAATTATATCGCTGATTCCTAGACTCACAGTGAAATGATTTAAAATTTTCAAAATATTCTCTTTTCATTATCTAATTTTAACTGTCAGCTCTTTATCTAATCTTACGTCATGCCTCCTTAAAGGACAAAATTGGTGTCAGTCATTATTACATATGTGATAGAACTGGTTAAATACATTCCAAATATAGTTTTAACACAGAGATCATTTCTACGGGAGACGTGTAACAAGCATGTGAAGAAACGGGAAGTGACGCCAAACATGACAAATACGAGTTGTTCTTCTATATAACTGACTGAAGTAACGATTGATAGCAGACAAACGATCGAATTTCATTTCACTGATAATTCCGTTGAAGTTGAAAAGTTATTATATGGGAGGGTGAGAGGGTATATCTCACAATTCAAAAATAGAATTGGCTGTCACTAGATAAGCGACACGAAAAAAATAGAAAAATCCCGTGCATTCCCCCGTTTTTATTCATTCTGTTCTTAATAAAAACATGGTAATGCACAGACTTTTTCTAATTTGTTCGTTATCTTTTATCTACTGACAGCCAATTCTTTTTTAGAATTGTCAGATATCCTCTGATCGTCTCATATAACAACTTTTCATCTTCAACTAAATTATCAGTGAAATGAAATTCGATCGTTTGTCTGTTATTACTCGTTACTTCAGTCAGTTATATAGAAGGACAACTCGTATTTGTCATGTTTGCCGTCACTTCCCGTTTCTTCACATGCTTGTTACACATCTCCCGTAGCAATGATTTCTGTGTTAAAATTATATTTGGGATGTATTTAACGAGCTCTATCACATATTTTATAATGACTGACACCAATACTGTCCTTTTATATTAGGCCATATGAAAAAAAAATATTCTGGTTCCCAGATAATTCTGCATCACTTCAAAAAAATAAAAACAGGCTCATTAGTTACTGCACATACATATTTTATTCTGCTTACAGGAAGTAAATCTATAAAAAAAATTGAATGACTCCATGCGTTCATTTATCAAGTACACTACCCTGATAAATGTTAATGACAATTATAAATGCTACTGGATAATCATACATTCCTATAAACAACAATTTGATCTTTATAGAAGTCATTCAGCCAAGTAGTAATTCTTTGACAAAATAAAAACACAAAAATAAGATTTTTGGTAAGGACTGTCTGACAACCAGAATATATTTTTTGTAGACCTATATATATGTTAAAGTAGCTAAGTCTCTAACTCATTATTATCCAAAGTCTTCGACATTGAAAACAGGAATTATTTGTCAATTTAAATCAACATTGATATTGTGATCTTACTGGGAAATGATGGGCTTCTGATATCCGATATTTCAGACAAAATAAACATTTTAAAATTGGTACACGAATCGTGTACCATAATGCGTTTCAGCGCCACTTGGAACAAGGGACTCGAAGAATGAGGTTAGACGTATTCCACAAGTCATGTCAAACGGTGACGCCATATTCTTATCTGGAGAGCATGTGCAATAAATACTTGCTTGAATATCTGATTAATTTCCGTTAACTAATCTGTGCACATGGATTGAAGCCTGCCCATGGTATTTAATGGATTACCATGATGCCCTTTCTTGTCTTTTACATAGATATAATTTTTACCAATCTTTTATATCCCTTCATCACACATGTAAATAAATATCACATAATAATGCAATTGTCGGCAATATCACCTTGATGGAAGCGGCCATTAAATAAAGCTATTTTACAGACACCGATAATCCGCCTAATCCTACTCGGTATTCACCATGGATCACTGCATTAGTTTAATTGATTTTGATAAATTTTTAGACCGTCAGTTTAATGGTACAAATACGAGAGAGGGGAGGGGAGGGGGGCCTCACGGTGGCTAAGACACTGGTTCGCTAGCCTGGAGGTCGTGTGTTCGATCCCTGCATTGGCCTAGAAAGTTCATCCAGATTTCCCGGCTTGGTTCTCCCTTGTCATTGATGCAGGGCGAGGGCCTGACAAGGACAACTGTCTAGTCGTTCGGATGGTACGAAAAACTGAGGTCCCGTGTACACATTGCCATGCATGTAAAAGATCCCTTGACAATTTAAATTCGATATAAGAGTAGGCCGTAGTGCCGCTGTCCGAGCAAAATTTCCATCATAGCATACTGAATGGCATATGCCCGTTTTCATTAGCCCAGTTCAGAGCAAAACAGTAGGACGTTAAACCCCATTTCATTTCATTTCATGAGCAAGGCGATACAGAAAGAGAAATATGATCGTGCAAAGCAGCCATGCTGATAGCAATCTGTCCGAGCGGTGAATATTGCGCCCAACATATTTATTCTACATTAACATATTTTGAAGCAAACCTTCACCAAGGACACAATTCTTTAGAATACAATTACTGCTTATCACTGAGTGGCATTTCGACTAAGATCCTCTAGTTCAATTACTTAACGCAGTTAAAACAATTTAAATCACAAGGGGCACAAAGGAGTCATATCACATAAATATTAATGTGTCTCTGGCTCCCAGTGGCTGGAGATTACAAATTTTTATAAATCAATTACACATAACAGATCCAAGGTTAGGCAGGTGACGGGCTTAAAACAGGACGATGCAACAGCACACAAACGATGTAACTGAGAAGTTACTTAGATCACCCATTTGAACCTCTAAACTACAAGCCTGGAATCAAACCCATGACTAACATATAGATGATATGCCTTGATGTAATATACAGTTTTAGACCACATGCCCCACCCCACCATAAATTATAGATCAAGGATGTTCATTAAAAGAGAGAGAAATGGCGTTTAGTATCAACTTGACACAAAGTAGCTTTATTAGGAACTAGCATATGGTTCAATTTTATTTCAGTAACTCCATGAACGAACGAACATGAAGGGTTTTTTAGCGATGGGAAGAAACCGGAGGACCCGGAGAAAACCAACGAGGTTGCTCGGATTGGACAGGTGACCCTACTTCTTGCCACGTAGAAGTCGAGAATCGAAGCTGTGCCACATGACAGACCTTGTGACTTCATGTGCACGCGTTAAACCACTAGACCCCCCCCCACCATGTTCATTAAATAACAATAGTTTTTTCTGTATGTCAGTATTGTGGCTTCCTAGTAAATATACTAGAATATACATGTATCCTATATGTAGTAAACAATGAGTCTTTCAAGTTGTACAATGTATTTTCATGTGATTATATAAATCAGCTATGCTAGTAAATGATTCAGCACAAATATCACATTTGCATGCACAAGTGAAGTTGTCTTTTGAGACAGCATCTTCTGGATGGCTGGCCATGTGGGTCTTTAATTCACTGTGTCTATTGAATGATTCACTACAAACATCACATTTATAAGCTTTTTCACCAGTGTGAATTCTGCTGTGTGCTTTGAGATTACTTTCCAAATTAAATGATTTACCACAAACATCACATTTAAATGGTTTGTTTTCTGTAGTTTGTTGTGTAGCATGCTTCAACATGTGTTGGGATAGAGAATTAACATGACGAAATGATTTATTACAAATACCACAATCAAAACAATCACGTTCTTTGTCTTTGGTATGGGTTTTCATGTGGACCCTTAATGCAGAGCCATCGGTAAATGACTTACTACAAACATCACATTTATGTGGCTTCTCTCCTGTGTGGATTTTCATGTGGATCGGTAGATAAGAGACAGAAGTAAACGATTTGCCACAAATATCACATTTATATGGTTTTTCACCAGTATGTGTTCTTAAGTGTTTCTGTAGATTGCTATTCTGAAAAAATAACTGACCACATAGGCCACATTTATATGGTTTGTCTTCAGTGTGAGTTCTGATATGAATCTGTAAAGTATTTTTTCGTCTGAATGATTTACCACAAACATCACATTTATATGGCTTCTCTCCTGTATGAATTGTCATGTGTGTCTGTAGATAACTGCTATGATTACACGAATAACCACAGACCTCACATTTATATGGTTTTGTTCCGGTGTGGATTTTCATGTGTCTAGGTAGACTAGACATAGAACTGAATGATTTTCCACAAACATCGCATTCATAAGGTCTTCCTCCAGTATGTGTTTTCATGTGTCTTTTCAGATAACAAGTACGAATAAATGATTTACCACAAACACCACATTCATAGGGTTTATCTCCAGTATGAATTCTTCCATGATCAATTAGATGACGCCTTTCATTAAATGATTTATCACAGACATCACATTTAAATGGCTTCTCTCCAGTATGAAGTGTCATGTGGGCTTGCAAACTGTGCTTCACAGTAAATGATTTACCACAAACATCACATTCATGTGGTTTTTCTCCTGTATGAGTTTTGATGTGGGTCCGTAAATTGAAACTAGATCTAAATGATTTACTACAAATATCACATTTGTAACACCTTTCTTCTGTGTGTGTCTTCTTGTGTATTGTCAAAGTTCCATTTAGGGTAAACGTTTTACCACAAACATCACATTTAAAAGGCTTCTCCCCGCTATGTATCTTCTTGTGTGTCCTTAGAGTGCCACGCAGAGTAAATGACTTACCACAAACATCACATTTATGAGGAGTCTCTCCAGTACATGTATGTATCTTCATGTGTTTGTGTAGGCTGCTATTCTGAGTGAATAATCTACCACAAACATCACATTTGTAAGGTTTTGCCCCAGTATGAATTCTGATGTGCATTTCTAGACCTTGTTTTACTGTAAATGTCTTCTCACAAAGATCACATTTAAAGGGTTTTTGTCCGGTATGAATTGTCATGTGGGTCTGTAGATTAAGATATGATTTAAATAATTTATCACAAACATCACATTTATATGTTTTTCCTCCTGGTTGAGGTTCAATTTGTGATCCTACATGTACATTACTATCACAGTTTGTTTTGTCAACTTTAACATGTGTTTTACAATGTTCCTCTAAATCAGCGTAAGATTTAAATATTTCATTACAATCATCACATTTGTATGGTTTTTCACATGTTTGAGGTTCAGTTTGTGCATCTTCATTGCTATCAATATCATCATTATTTTTGTCATCTTTAACATGTATTTTACAATGTTCTTCTAAATCATTATAAGATTTAAATTTTTGGTCACACAAATTACATATATAACATTTTGTCAAGTTTGTGTCTTCTCCTTCAAAATGAACTTGGTAATCTCTATCTAAGGCAATATCATCAGTTTTCTCTTCTTTTACATGAATTTTATTGTGTTTTTCTAAATCATCATATTGTTGAAAAATCTCATCACATACAATGCACTGATGAAATGTTTTAACATCATTAGTTTCCTGGAATATATAAAGTTATAACATCATTGGTTTCCTGTAATATTTAAAGTTAAAACATCATTAGTTTCCTGTAATATATAAAAGTTATAACATTATTAGTTTCCTGTAATATATAAAAGCCATAACATCATTAGTTTCCTGTAATATGTAAAAGTTATAACTTTATTAGTTTCCTGTAATATATAAATACTAAAACATCATTAGTTTCCTGTAATATATAAAAGTTAAAACATCATTAGTTTCCTGTAATATATGAAAGTTATAACATTATTAGTTTCCTGTAATATATAAAAGTTATAACATTATCAGTTTCCTGTAATATATAAAATCAAAACAGAACACAGTTTGCCATTTTTAAATCTTACCATGTGTTCACATAAGAATTTATACATATAGGCAACATTATTGAGTGAGACATCTTTTATTGAATACTTTCAAATATTAATTCCCAACCATTCTGCAATCTTTTGGGAGGGTTGAATAGTTGAATCACAGGAATAGCGGGCCAAAATCAATATTTCATATTGTATAAGATAAGTTTATTTTTCCTAACCATAACCCTAAACAGAACCCTAACAATCAAATACAGAGATTTTCGTTACTTCCTAGTGGTATTTTCATATTGCAGCTTAAAGGAGCTAAGTTGTTAATATTTGGGACCTAGAAATTGACACATTTGGGTCACAAAGCATACAATAATGTAATATTAATGTATATAAATTGATTAACATTCAATCGTTTCTGTTTTTACTGTAATTTCTAATCAGTTAGGTTCGGCAAAATACGGCAGTATTCTCAATCGAATTCCAATCTCTGGCGTCTGGTTATTCCAGTCTATGCCGATAGTATTTATTGGGCATGCTCTCCAGATAAGAATATAGCGTCACCGTTTGACATGACTTGTGGAATATGCCTAGCCTTGTTTTTCGAGTCCCTTATTACAAATAGCGCTGAAACACATTATGGTACACGATTCATGTACCAATTGTAAAATGTTTATTTTGTCTTAAACATTGGATATCAAAAGGGCATCTTTTCCTGGTAAGATCACAACATCAATGTTGATTTAAACCGACAAATAAATCTTGTTTTCAAAGTCGAAGATTTTGGATGATATTGAGGTAGACACTTAGCTACTTTAATAAGGATGGACAAGAACTGTCAGAATACAAACTTGTTTGAATTAATAGCATCACCAATGCTTTTCACTGATCTTTAGCAGCTTCAGAATATTCATATATACATTGTTGACTTCTTTAAATTAATTCCCATACTGTAAAACAATCAAAGTAGCTGTAAATCAGTGAAAATATCGGTGATGCATTTTAATCGAACAAGGAACTACAGCTACTCTATCCTACAATATCATATAATTAATACGTAAGAGCAGAAGTTACGTGTTGGAGGACATAAAACACAAAATGTCATTGTTTTATTATGTTTATCACTCACCATAATTTTCTTTTATTGTTGTTGTTGACCTTGACACACAGTGAGATACGACTCGCGATTCGTTCTACAAGAAATTAGCTACTTTACTGTACTGTGCCATGCACACTAGTCTATTAATTTGTATGATCATTTTAAACGCAACAACGAGAGAAAAGAATTTCGTTTCTTCATTATCATAATATTATACGATCGATAACATCCGGTGATGAAAGCGATAGTTGTAAATTGAGTACAGACGCAGATCAATTCGACCCGAGTACTTCATAATGGTATCCAGAAAACACAGACTAAAGACCACTCGGACTAAGACCAGTCGGACGATAAAGGGGACCAGTCGGAGCAAAACAGATGTCACTCAGACCATGACTATGGCCCCTGGTTTAATGAAAAATTAATTAGTGTGTTTGTTTTAATATGACTACTCGGACCAATAATAAAGTGTTGTTTTAATAAATTGATAATTGCTATGTATTTACCCGTGGTATTTTTTCATCGGGAAGCACATCAAAGAAAATCGGTTTAAAACAACGATAACTGAGTAGTGATCACTACTCAGTTATCGTTGTTTTAACTAGTGGGCTTTTGGTTTGGTCCGATTAGTCTTTTTGGTTGGTCCGAGTGGTCCCTCATTTGGTCCGACTGGTCCTTTGGTTGGTCCGACTAGTCTTGACCCGAGTGGTCTTTATTCCGATTGGTCTGGATACCCATTGACTACGATCTTCATGGATTGAAACTTATAGGCGTAGCATGATTTACCCAATCCCACACAAATCCACCATGTTTCAACTCATATAGAGTATTGCCTTATAAATTTAAATAACGATGGAGTTGGGTAAATCGTGTCACCCATTTATAGGCCTAGATGATAACGTAAGGATAAACTGAAACGAATAAGCCATGCAGAATATTGGTCCGAGTGGTCTTCTGCTTTGGTCCCATACTGATCAGCAGTGAATTTTCGCTAGGCCGCTAGAATCACTGATAAGGATGACATCGATGCGACTTAATGAGTTTTTTCTTCCGTCAAATTAAATTCTAAAACATTTTTTTCATTTATTAGAAAGATAAATAAAGACGTTTGAATTGTTTGTAGGTAAAAATCATTTCCTATTTAGTGTAAATGGGTATTAAAATAAGTAAAATTCACAATTTAGCCCGAATCAGTAACGTCTTATGTAAACAATGCACGCGCTATTGAGCCAATGATTGACGCCGCGTGATGTGACGTCACGTGTCGAAACAGTCATCTGTAACAGAGATATTAAAAGATCTCTGTGAAACAGATTGCTTTTTGTCTGCGATATCACCTCGGTGGAAGCGGACGTAAAATACAACTAACTAACAACAACAACAACAACAACAACAACAACAACAACAACAACACCAGATTGCTTTGGTCCATGTAGTATTCTGTCTTGCGTGTGTGCGTAAATTATAGCGATCACATATATTGTGAATTACTAAGGATGGATAGCTCCACGCCTTTACGTAATTTACAACCATTGGCACCGGAAATGATCTGATAATAAAGAACCTAAACTGGCTGTAGTTTTTCAAATTATCATAATTTACCAATTATCTGTATAATTTAAAGGTTTGGTGAATTAATGAACTGAGTAATCATTTCGTGGAATTTCACAGATCAACTGTAATTTATACAAACAGTAATTTTTGTTTGGTACACAAAAAATGGTGAGTGGGTAAACAAAGGTTACACACTGTAAGCCTACGTCTGTTGGCTACGAATACGGGACAACTTGTCCTCGAAAAGTTTGGTTAAGTCAGTCACAAATGTCAAAATGTGTTGGTTGAGTGGTCCACACTGTATTGGTTATATGTTATTGGTTTTGTCGCCGTAATCATAGTTTTTGATAGGATTTTAATTCGGAGTGTTATAAAGTACATTTATTTGATTTTAAGTTCATCATATATACCCATAGTTTGTTATATGTTTATAATCTTGTGCTGTAAGTACATTTGCTTGTTAATTCATTGTTTATGGAAGGATGCATTTGTCTTGATTATAAGTGTTTAATAAGGAACAAAAAACAAAATACCAGTAACACAATTTTTTTCACTATAAAAAACCTCATCAAAATTTATTTACAAACACAAATTCATTAACGAATTTATCAAAACAAATTCATTAACAAAGAATATTTAAATTCTGAATGAACAAGCAACAAAATTCATTAAAGATACATTATGGGAGATTAGATAACGAGTTGACAGTTCTCACTATAATAGTTAAAAACAGATAATGTAAAAGCAATTTGCTGAAAATTTCATTCAAATTGATCCACTATGAACCGAGAACTAAGCAATTGAAATTTCGGCCTAGCCTCTATCATCATTACTAAAGTCAGTACGATAAACAGCATAGTTTCGATTATCCATTTAATCGTTAAATCGTGAAGGAAATTTATGCAGTAAATCGGCTTATAATCCACTAAAGGTCAAATGCTAGCAATGCCATCTAGAGTTGATTATGGTCTGGATAAGTTAATTAATGTCTAATTAATAATTTAGATAACATTTCAGGCCTAAAGAAAGACCTACAATAGACAGATTTAGCTCTTGCATAATGTATGTTTAACTAACAAAAAATGAATTAATAAAGTCAAAACCATTTCAGTCACTGAGAGAGACTACTTCTTTCAATTGACCTGAAACAATTTTTCCCCCAGTTTATATAATTCCCATATTTTAAAAATTTTGCTTTGGATTATTTTCACTTTAATTTATTTTCGGTTTAATTTATTTTCCAAAACAAATCTACATGTATATTGTAGCTCAGCTTATTTAGATTCAATGTAAAGTAATTGTAAAAGTAGATATAAAATAGCAGCTTTAGGATTTATTCATCTACTTTATTACAAAAACATCGGTCAGATCAGAACAATAGAATGTTAAACCCCATTTCATTTCATTTACGAAAACATCGGTGATCAATCAATCAAGCTTGTTTACTATTTGATAAAAACCTCCAAAACATCTGATAATCAGTAAAACTAATTTATTCCATACAATTGATGTGTGTAAGAGTCAACTATTAGTTGTGGACGACATTACCAATTATAACTTTGATATAATAAAGAATGCTGTAACTTTATATATTATGGCCAAACTAATGATGTAATAACTTTTATATAATCCAGGAAACTAATGTTATAACTTTTTTTATATTCCAGGAAACTAATGATGTTATAACTTTTATATATATATTATAGGAAACTAATGATGTTATACTTTTTATATATTCCAGGAAACTAATGATGTTAAAACATTTCACCAATGTGTTGTATGTGATGAGATGTTTCAGCAATATGATGATTTAGAAAAACACAATAAAATTCATGTAAAAGAAGAGAAAACTGATGATATTGCCTTAGATAGAGATTACCAAGTTCATTTTGAAGGAGAAGACACAAACTTGACAAAATGTTATATATGTAATTTGTGTGACCAAAAATTTAAATCTTATAATGATTTAGAAGAACATTGTAAAATACATGTTAAAGATGACAAAAATAATGATGATATTGATAGCAATGAAGATGCACAAACTGAACCTCAAACATGTGAAAAACCATACAAATGTGATGATTGTAATGAAATATTTAAATCTTACGCTGATTTAGAGGAACATTGTAAAACACATGTTAAAGTTGACAAAACAAACTGTGATAGTAATGTACATGTAGGTTCACAAATTGAACCTCAATCAGGAGATAAACCATATAAATGTGATGTTTGTGGTAAATTATTTAAATCATATCTTAGTCTCCCAACCCACATGACAATTCATACCGGACAAAAACCCTTTAAATGTGATCTTTGTGAGAAGACATTTACAGTAAAACAAGGTCTAGAAAAGCACATGAGAATTCATACTGGAGCAAAGCCTTACAAATGTGATGTTTGTGGTAGATCTTTTGCTCAGAATAGTAGTCTGCGTGAGCATATGAAAACACATAGTGGGGAGAAGCCTCATAAGTGCAACATTTGTGGTAGGTCATTTACTCTGAAAAGCACCCTAAGAAAGCATTTGAAAACACATAGTGGGGAGAAACCTTATAAATGTGATATTTGTGATAGATTATTTACTCAGAGCTACTCTCTGAAAACACACATGAAAACACACACTAAAGACAAATGTTTCAAATGTTATGTTTGTAGTAAATTATTCAGATCAAGTTATGATCTCAAGACTCACATGAAAATTCATACTGGAGATATACCACATGAATGTGATGTTTGTGGTAAATCATTTCATTTAAAACACAATCTCCAATCCCACATGAGAACTCATACAGGCGAGAAACCTTTTAAATGTGATGTTTGTGATAAATCATTTAATGGAAGACAGACTCTAATTGAGCACAGTCGAATCCATACTGGAGAAAAACCCTATGAATGTGGCGAATGTGGTCAGTCTTTTATTCGTACTTGTAATCTAAAAAGACACATGAGGATTCACACTGGAGAAAAATCCCTTGAATGTGGTTTTTGTGGTAAAACATTTAGTTCCAATTCTTATTTAAAGATACACAGTAGAATCCATACTGGTGAGAAATGCCACAAGTGTGATGTTTGTGGTAAATCATATACAGACAGTTCTGCTTTTACCAAACACAAGAAAACTCATACAGGAGAAAATGTTTATAATTGTGATTTTTGTAATAGATTGTTTCGCCACAGTAAAACTCTTTCTCAACATATGCTGAAGCATGCTACACAACATACTACAAAAGATAAACCTTATAAATGTGATGTTTGTGGTAAATCATTTAATTTGGAAAGTAATCTGAAGGCACACAGCAGAGTTCATACTGGTGAAAAAGCTTATAAATGTGATGTTTGTAGTGAGTCATTTAATAGACACAGTGAATTAAAGACCCACATGATCAGCCATCCAAAAGAAGTCGTAACAAAAGACAATATTTCTTGTGTATGCAAGTGTGATAGTTGTGGTGAATTATTTACAAACATAGCTGATTTTTATAATCACATGAAAATACATTGTACTACTTGAGATACCGGCTGTACATATAGTCACCTAAGATATACTGGCTGTACAGGAAGTCAACAAAGATGAGGAATACACACAATGGTGTGTGATGGTGGTGTGATTATGTACACTCTGTAATAAATAAATATGTTGTATAATGTATGTTATGTTTGCTGAGCCATACATTTCAAATAAATGCCACTAGTTTGTTACTAGCATTTCTTCATGTTGTGACTAGATTTGAGAGAGGTTAAAAGAACCGAATAGAGAGCTGAGAAATAAAAAAAGAGGTGTCATAGGTACGTGTATATTGGCTTATCAAATACCACTTTAATTGGCAATGGTCACATTTAAATGGAACATTTTTGCAAAAGATAGTATGGGATTAACCCCATTGTTTAGGGCTTTCTGTAATAAATAAATATGTTGTATAATGTATGTTATGTTTAATTTTTTTGAGCCATAAATTCAAAATAAATGCCACTAGTTTGTTACTAACATTTCTTCATGTTGTGGCTAGAATTTTGAGAGGGGGAGAGAACAGAAACAGGGAGAGGGAGCGAGAGACAGGAGGGAGAGACAGGAGGGGGGGGACAAGAGACAGGAGGGGGAGAGGAGAGACAGGAGGGGGAGAGAACAAGAGACAGGAGGGGAAGAGAAGGAGAGACAGGAGGGAGAGAGAACAAGAGACAAGAGGGGAAGAGAAGGAGAGACAGGAGGGAGAGAGAACGAGAGACAAGAGGGGAAGAGAAGGAGAGACAGGAGGGAGAGAGAAGGAGAGACAGGAGGGAGAGAGAAGAGAGAGACAGGAGGGGGGGGAAACGAGAGACAGGAGGGGGAAAGGAGAGACAGGAGGGGGAGAGAACAAGAGACAGGAGGGGAAGAGGAGAGACAGGAGGGAGAGAGAACGAGAGACAGGAGGGGAAGAGAAGTAGAGACAGGAGGGAGAGAGAAGGAGAGACAGGAGGGAGAGAGAAGGAGAGACAGGAGAGGAAGAGAATGAGAGACAGAAGAGAGACAGAAGAGAGAGACAGGAGGGGGGGAAACGAGAGACAGGAGGGGGAAAGGAGAGACAGGAGGGCGAGAGAACAAGAGACAGGAGGGGAATAGAAGGAGAGACAGGAGGGAGAGAGAACGAGAGACAAGAGGGGAAGAGAAGGAGAGACAGGAGGGAGAGAGAAGGAGAGATAGGAGGGAGAGAGAAGGAGAGACAGGAGGGGGAGAGAAGAGAGACAGGAGAGGAAGAGAATGAGAGACAGGGAGAGAGATGAGAGATAAAGAAAGAGGTATCATAGGTACATGTATACCAACCTTTCAAATCCCTCTTGACAATGATGACATTTAAATGCAACATTATTGCAAAAGATAGTATGGGATTAACATGGGATTAACCCCATTTTTTAGGGCTATCTCACTGATGTTCGGGTGTTGTCTTAAAATGAAATGAAATGAAATGGGGTTTAACGTCCTACTGTTCTGCTCCTAACCTGGGCTAATGAAGATGGGCATACGCCATACGTTGTGCTATGAGGGAAATTTTGACCGGGCAGCGGCGCTACGGCTTACTCTTATATCGAATTCCAACTGCCAAGGGATCTTTTACGTGCACGCCAATGTGTACACGGGACCTTGGTTTTTCATCTCATCCGAATGACTAGACAGCTGTGCTTGTCAGGCCCTCCATCCTGCATCACTGACAAGGGGAAACCACACTGGAAAATCTGAATGAACTTCCTCGGCCAATGCAGGGATCGAACATGCGACCTCCAGGCTAGCGAGCCAGTGTCTTACCCACTTAGCCACATGATCCCCCTGTTGTCTTAAAGATAATATACCCACACACATGAATATGACATAAAGTGTGGTATGAGGGAAATGATTTATACAGGTAATTATTTTACAGTCTTAATATGGGTCAGGGATAGGCAATACTCACTTGATAGAGCAGCAAAGACAGGGACATGTTGATAAATCTGTGTAGCTGCTGAATCAAAATTTATGTAAGGGGCATTAGACCAAAAATTTCATGAATTAAAACAGCTAAATTGCTAATATTTGGGACCTAGAAATTGACACAAATGGGTCACAATGGATATAATAATTTAATATGAATGTATATAATCTGATTTACATTCAATCGTTTCCGTTTTTACTCTGATTTCAAATCAGTTATGTTTGGCGAAATTTGCCAGAAATCTGAATCGAATGGCAATCTCTAGCATCTGGTTATTCCAGTCTACAATGAAATGAAATGAAATGGGGTTTAACGTCCTACTGTTCTGCTCCTATGCTGGGCTAATGAAGACGGGCATACGCCATACAGTGTGGTATGAGGAAAATTTTGCCCGGGCAGCGGCACTATCGCCTACTCTTATATCGAATTCCAACTGCCAAGGGATCTTTTACGTGCATTCTAATGTTCCAGTCTACACCGATAGTATTTATTGCGCATGCTCTCCAGATAAGAATATGTCATCACCGTTTGACATGACTTGTGGAATATGTCTAGCCTCCTTCTTCATAGAGCTGAAACACATTATGGTACACGATTCGTGTACCAATGGTAAAATGTTTATTTTGTCTTAAATATATTGGATATCAGAAGTCCATCTTTTCCCGGTAAGATCACAACATGAATGTTGATTTAAATTGACAAATAATTTGTGTTTTCAATGTCGAAGATTTTGGATGATATTGAGTTAAAGAATTGACTACTTTAAATACCCACTTTATTCTGCCACAGGGGGGTTGGACGTTAAACCCCATTTCTCTCTCTTTCTCTCTCTTATTCTGCCACTGTCTGTACTCCTGAACAGCGGGGACAACCCGAATTATTGATCCATTTCAATCAAAGTTGATGTTATCATCTTACCATGAAAATATGGAATCCTAATATCCAAGATTTAAGACACAATGACGGTTGAGTTGGAATGGCCGCTCTGTGTACGTAAATAGTGTTAAAAGATGTAATATCAAGGTTGTGGACCCTCTAGAGGTCACAATTTTGATCTGATTTTAATGAAACTTAAAACACGTGTTTATGTTCCAAACATGTTTATGCATATCAGAGTGTAATTTCCTGGACTATGGCCCCCTAACATGATTTTAGCTTGTAGACCCTCTATAGGGTATATATAATCACTGTTACATCCTGATGATGATTGAGTTCAAATTTCGTAAAAATCAGACCGAAACTGCCCGAGAAAATAGCCGCTTCTTGAATACAAATAGTGTAAAAGTATGTAATACCAAGATTGTGGACCCGCTAGAGGTCACAATTTTTGTCCGATTTTGATGAAACTTAAAATATATCCCAAAGATTTCAGTTTCTTTCGATAGATTTAGCTTGTGAACCCTTTAGAGGTCAAAATTTTTAACAGATTTTAAAAACGTTTAATCAGTGTTACATCCTAATGATGGTTGAGTTTGAATTCGTGAAAAGCAGACCGAAATTGGCTGACAAAATGGCTGCTCCTTGTACGCAATTAGTGTAAATTATGTAATACCAAGGTTGTGGATCAACTAGAGGTCAGATTTTGATGAAAGTTAAAATATATGTTTATATCCCAGAGATTTCTATTCTTTTTGATATTCGCACATATCAGACCATAACATACTGATTGTATGAAAAAATCGCTTTTTTTTTTTTAGCTTGTTTTCTGTCCATCTCTTGCCAAATGTGGGTGTATCTTGCATGGCAACCGCTTTTTTGAATTTTCTCTGAATTTAATTAAAAATATTTTTCCAGGAATTTGTTGGTAGAGCTGTGGACCTTATAATACATTAAGCTCCATGATTATCGTGCTTACATGGAACAATAGGCCAATCTGATTAAAACACAGATCCTATTTCGTTTTGTTTGTTTTTATAGTTCAAAATTTCATTTTATTGGTCTGTACTACACTAGGATCTGGAAAAGTTGTTATACATAATAGGCATTCAGGATGGCGTGAGGGATTAGCAAATGAAACCATCTGTTACGGCCATGCACGGAACTGTGGTTAAACCACTAGAAACGTCAACGCTGATTAATTAATCAATGTCTGATGTCATAGGGTCAAAAGCTGCTCGTACGACCCCTGACGCAACCTTCCAGTACAACTGATCAGATCTTTATGTAGGCCATTCTTAAGTATAAAAAAAACGAAACAAAATATAAATCTACATATTTTCATCAGATTGCACATAGACATGTTATAACCAGTACGTACTGACAATCATGTGGCAGTATGATCTTTTCGGAAGTCGAATCTGATCTGTGCCCCACTGGAATGGAATCCACACACCAAGTGAGCAAAGGGATTCCCCTCAGCCAAGTGCATGAGTGTGTGGGTGGGGTGAGGGTATATGCGAACTCGAGATACCACAGGATAAAACAATAGAGGCTTCCCAGCACATGAAACATTTATATCCCTGCAACAATCACATGAGTAAACTTAGTGAGATTAAAAAAAAATCGTCAATTTAATACAATTCGAATCGTAGGCCTACAATGTATCTCACTCGATTCATGTAATGTAGGCCTATCTCATTCGTGTTGAATGTTGTGTCATTATCAGACCAGTTTGAGGTAAATATGTATTCTGAGATGATTATCATACTGTTTGTCCTGTTAGTAAATGTGTAATTATGTAAAATTATCATTTGTCTTGTTTGTAAATACATGTATATATCTATTATTTGTCATACTATATCTTTATATACATGTTCATATTGTATGCTGTCCTTAATGGATGTTTTGATATAATAAAATCTTATCTTATCTTATCTTATCCACAACCTAATTTGCAGATTGATTTTGGTGGCATAACTTGAAAATGATTAACTGACAAACATTGGACATGGCACTGGAGTTACTAAATTGAAGTGCATTAAGTCAAGTGCATTAGTAATAATAAATAATAATAATAATATTAATAAAAAAACCAAAAAAAAAACCAAGTGAGTTACTTGGGTTTGTTCGATCCAAATCCAGAGATTAAAATCAGCCACGCGATGAAGGTGTAAATTATTCAAGATGGCTGCCTTTATTGTCCTTTAGAAATCGACCCGGCCTTATTGTTTGTACCATTATTTATTATAGGTTTGGTCCTAAATACCGTGTTTTGATGTTGTACATGTTTCTGGGGTACGTACCGACATTATGATTAATGAAAAGTGATTGTTCTAAACGACATTAATTAAATAAACAATTTAGTATCGGTAAACTGTTATTTTTAACAGACGATTATTATTGTGGACCAAACATGCTATGACATGTTCTTACAGTAAGTGGGAATATCGTGGTTAATTCCCAACTCCTCTTAATATCAATTCGTAAGTGGAATTTTACAGCCGTTGTCAATATTTAGATTTTTGGCTTTGTTTTTCATTCTAAAATTAGAATCATCAGCTTGCAATTTGTACATCATGTATTATGGGTTGTTACAATGGGGATCCGTTACAATGTTAGTTAATTAGCTTTAGAAGCATTATCATTTTCATCCATAAAATCAGTTTAATTGATTTTGAACAGTTATCATAACTAAGATAATCTTTATGATCATTAAAAACCCAAACTAGACAACTTAAATTCAAGTGTTTGTTTTATTCTTTGCATTCCTTCTGATTTAAAGACCATGCACTGATGTACCTTAGGTCTGTCAGTGAATTTTTTTAAATCAGCTATTTACCGGCAAGCTAAATGAAAGATCTTCAAGATCTTCTATAACATTAAAAAAGGTGTCTTTAAAAAATTGGTATTTGAAACTTTTGATGCGTCCAACAGTCATTTACTGTTTATATATATACATGTACCGTAGGCTACTGGTAGACCCTACATGTAATTGTATAAAATTAATTGACTGATATGAGTTAATTTCCATTCATTCTTTTTCAGATTAATGTAAAGTACCCAGTGGCCAACAAAAAACGAATGGGATTAGAAAATTCCCCAATCTCTGTGTAGTTCTCTTTTTTAGAGGTCAGCTTTTCACTGGCAAGAGGTGTCTGACATTGCTGGGAGGCGAAATAGTAATTGGAAATTGTAAATTGTTTTTATACATGTACAATTAATTGCCTACTGGTACTGAAGGATATGATCTCCATTCATGGGATCATAATAAAAGTAAATTGACTAGGACCACACAGTAGAAAAAAAACAAAACAGAACCGCATACAATTTTAAAAACAACAGTAGATTTGCAATATATGAATAACCATTACATTTGACAAACAAAAAAACAGTGATACAAATCAGCCTCCTCAAAAATGTCACAAAGTGGAAATTCCTTTCATCAATGTGTTGTGTGTGAAGAAATGTTTGTGGTTTATACAGAGTTTGTCGAACATTGTAAGCAACATATCAAACTTGAACAAACTGATGACCACAGTGTTGGGTCAAATATGTTTGATGATCTTGGAAATTCCAAGAATCAAACAGCTGCTAGTTTAAATAAATTGGATCACAATAGCAAAGCGCCAGGAAATGGAACAGAAAGACATAATGTTGCCTCTGTTCCTAGTAGTTCTCGAAATCAACTTATTAAGTCGTCAATGGAAACAGATGATAATAGTACTGAAAAACCCGTTGTAGAGTTAGATAACGCTGAGGACAGTAAATCTATCAAAATTCACCCAACTGCTGATGCTGGGGGTAATTTAAAAATAAAGATACCCCCACTAGTGGATGCAAGAGGTAAACCAATGACAATTCCTCCTATAGCCAATTCTGAGGATAATGAAACCATGGAAATTCCACCAATAGCTGAGGTGGATGAATCAGTAAAACATCCAGGAACGTCTACTTCGGAGGCTGATGACATGGATAAAGCATTTGTTTGTGGAGTCTGTAACAAATCATTCATGAAGAAAAATTATCTCAAAGCTCACATGAAAGTACACTCAGGCCAACGGCCATTCAAGTGTCACATCTGTCCTAAAGCTTTCACAGAGAATAGCAATCTACAGAAACACCTGATTATTCATTCAGGGTCACGACCTTTCACCTGTGAACTTTGTGGTAAATCATTCAGTGCTAATAGTACTTTACAGAAACACACTAGAACTCATACGGATGAGAGACCGTATCCTTGCACGGGTTGTGACAAGGCTTTTCGCGATTCTGGGTCATTGTTTAAACACAGTCGCATCCACACCGGTGAAAAACCTTATATCTGTACAATCTGCGATAAAGCGTTCGGCTACAGTTTCAGTCTACAGAAACATATCAAAATGCACAATGGCGAGAAATCATTTCGCTGCGATCTGTGTAGCAAGTCGTTTAGCTGCAGCAGCCATCTTAAAACTCACATCCGCCGACATACTGGAGAGAAACCGTTCAAATGTGACATTTGTGGAAAATGTTTTATACAGAAATGTGGTTTACAGAATCACGAGCGAACACATACCGGGGAAAAACCATACATGTGTGAAATCTGTTACAAGTCATTTAGTCAACAAAGTAATTTAAAAGCTCATATGAACAGATGCAGTGGTGTGATCAAGGCCTCACCAAATACTGGTAGATCTTCCGGTACTCTCCCCCATACCACAGGTTCACTGGGGGATACTGTCCCCAACACCATTGGCTCACATGGGGGTACTGTCCCTCATACCACAGGATCACCGGGGGTACATGATTAAACATCCTCTTTGTTAACTATTCTGTAAATGTTGATGACATGTTGAACTAGAATGAACAAGCACATAATTGCACAAGCACATTATTGAACAATCTCATTCCCTGCCACATTTGTTCAATGAAATGGGAGGGTTGGATGGCCGAATCGTTGTACCATAGGTCTGTATCATTGAGTCAACTGGCGTGGATTCGATTCCCAGTTGTACTGTGACAAGGAGTAGGGTCACCTGTCCAACCTCTGGTTTCCTCTCACTGCTAAAGACCCCTACACGCACGCAAATTATTGAAATAAAATTGAACCAAGTGTTGGTCCCGGAATGACCTTGTTTTGCCAAGTGGACGTTAAACCCCATTTTTCTCTCGCTCTCTCTCTCAATCAAATGGTATATCATGACTCTCCATATCCATACTCCTTGCAGTGTTTCGTTTGATTGGACCTAATGGCACTCAAACACTGCTGTAATGAAAGCAAATTTCTGTTCCAAGTTATGACTGTTACTTCATGACACATGAAATTAGCAGAATATTGCAGAAAAACTAATTGCGTGACAATGTTTACAAACCATATTGCTTGGAGACGAACAATACTTTCCCCGTTTTTAATATCTTAAATCACTGTCCAAAGTAGGGAAGACCCCAGATTAAACACAAGGGCTGTGATGTTGCTGTACTTAGGGGAGATTTGATTGAACGGGAAGAATAGACACACTCCCTGAAAAGCTCAAGTATCAGAAGTCAATCCAGCAATGGCCAGAGAGGGATTTCTCGGGCCATCGCTTCAGGAATATGTAATAGTTTATCAGTGGTAATTAGAATTCATGTTCACCCGAAGCATCACAAGTTAACACCTTGTTACAGTGCAATAAGGGCAAGATTGTGTTGTATGATAGAGACTAGTAATGTCTATACTATGTATTTATTGTGTGTCAACGTGTTACTGTATGATAATAACCTGTCATGTCTGAATATTTATTTGTAATGCTTTGAAAAATGAACTGAAAATATAGTTCACTACATTTTAACAGAACACAATTTTTATGGGAAACGATATCGAAATGTTGTTTTTACAGAATAAAACCAGTGATTGTTTCCTATAACAATTGTGTCCTTATAGAATAAACTAGTGATCGATTCCCATAAAAATTATGTTCTGTTAATGTGTTTCTGAATCGCTAAATTATGCCACTTAAAAGATTATGTACATGTATATTCACTGCATTTGATTTCAAATAAATATAATTGGTTAATCAATCCCAATAGTTTGTCTATAAGCATGGTATTGGTATACATGTAAAATGTAACAGGGAAATTATTATTCAGCAGGACTGTAAAACAAAATAAAATATATACTTTTTTTATATATATATATTAAATAAATTATCATAAAAGGAAAAGATTATTTGAAGGCCATTGTTTGGTTTGCCATTTGTCACGTTGAGATTAAGATTAATGCATAAAAATACTATCTAACAGTAATTGTCTTTTAATCTAACGATTGAACGAATTAGTACAACTCTTTGATTACAGTCTACATACATGTATACATGTACATGTTTTCAGAAATCCACGTATCTTGTTTAAACATACATGATGCAAGAGCTAAATCTGGCTATTGCAGGTCTTTCTTTAGACCTGAAATGTTTGGTAAATTATTAATTAGACATTAATTAACTGATCCAGACCATAATCAACTCTCGATGTTATCGCTAGCCTGCCATATTTACTGGATTAGGATCAGATTTGCTGCTCTATGCTCATTCATGATTAACTCAAGAAATGGATAATCGAGACTATGTATTTTATCTTACCGACTTTAGAAATCATGATCGAGGCTAGGCCCAAAATTCAATTCTCTGTTCAAAGTGGATCAATTTGACTGAAATTTTCAGCAAATTATCTAGTTTTTAACTATTATAGTGAGAACTGCCAGCTCTTTGTCTAATCTCCCATAATGTATCTTTAACTTTTGTTGTTTTTATGTATTAAATACATTTCTTTATAAATGTATGTCTATTATGTAGAAACCTATTAGCACTATACCTAAAATATAAAATTAATTGTATGGTTAAGGACGTGTCATGTTTAAAGAACACATCATTCCTTGTATTATGAACTGAAAGCAGCGCTCCCATATTTACACCTACATACGATTGTTTAATGTCTTTCACATTAAAATGCGTTCATAATTTATATTTATGCTCATTGAATTTTAATGAATACGTTTATACATGTATTTCAATGACAGTCGTTCCCTGTAGTGTTTTCTTATAGTCTTTGTTGTAATTTGATCAGTATCGGTCGGCTTCCACCGTGTTATATACATGTAATATATGAATTTCAAATTGTTTACGACCTGATTATCATACTGTATAACCTGAATCATATTATGGCTTACTGAAATGAAATGAAATGAAATGGGGTTTAACGTCCTACTGTTCTGCTCCTAACCTGGGCTAATGAAGACGGGCATACGCCATACAGTGTGCTATGAGGGAAATTTTGCCCGGACAGCGGCACTACGGCCTACTCTTATATCGAATTCCAACTGCCAAGGGATCTTTTACGTGCACGCCAATGTGTACACGGGACCTCGGTTTTTCGTCCCATCCGAACGACTAGACAGCTTTCCTTGTCAGCCCCTCCGTCCTGCATCACTGACAAGGGAGAACCACGCCGGAAAATCTGGATGAACTTTCTCGGCCAATGCAGGGATCGAACACCCGACCTCCAATTTTTTACTATCAGATTATATCAGGTAGTTGTAAATACAGTTAAGAGGCGACCCCATTTTGCACATGGCAAACCTCATCAAGGCCGTAAAGTATGTGATAACCGCGATATAATAATATGCTTTATGGTAAGCAGGCCGTGAGAGGGGAGGGGGACGCTGGAACACTTGTTCAGGGGCCCGGAGCCTAGAGGGGTCCGGTATGCCGCGTAAAGTTTTAAAAAAAATTGTTGGTGTAAATTCATAAAAAAAAAATATACTGTTACTTGATCGTATTACAATGTTTTGAGAAGGATTTGAAGCAAAATTATGACAAATTAATTAGTTTGAATATGTGTTTAGTCCTATTATAATACCATAAATCACCCAGTTTGTACACAGGAATGTATCTTTAAATAGGCATAGGTACATGTACTATTGGATTGCTATGATAATATTAAACAAAGTCTCAGATACCGTACGTCCAATTAAATGGCATGGGTGCTAAATATTTAATAAAAGATTTTTTATTGACTCATCTTCAACAGGTAAACACAATATCAATATGCATTGCACATCGTCATAACATCACCACAATATTCATAAAATTTAGGTTACCGGTACAATAATTTACATACCTGTAATTAATTAAGAAATAGATAGATATGGTATATCAAGGTTGTGGACCCTCTAGAGACCACAGTTTTTATCCAATTTGGATGAAACTTTAAATATATGTTTTTATCATTAAGATCTTGGTTCCTTTTGATAATTATTAACATTAGTGTTACTTTGCTCTTATTTTTTGAAAAAAATTTCACAAGTTGATTTCCTTTATTTTGTTAATGTAGAATGGTAACGAACTGCTCTTTTCATTTTCTTTGTTTTATTTGTTTCGTTTGAATTTGATTTATCTGTTTAGTTTTTGATTGTTTAATTTTTGTTAATGAAGTTGATTCTTTTAAACTTCGTTTTTATTTTTGAACTCTACTTGGTGTAGGTGTTCATCAGGTAATACCTCGACTGAGTTCAATATTGAGATTAGCCGGTTGATTTGTTGGATATAAACCTTTGAATAATAGCGCCTAACAGGCAGCTGTGTTTAATTATGTTCTCCTGATTTTGATTGTTTCTGTGTGTTTGAAGTATATGTTTGTGATATGCGCTTAGAAACACTTCACGTGTAATGAAGCGCTATATAAATCGAACAATAATAATAATAATAATAATCAATAAGAAACTATGTGCAAAGTTTTGTGTTTCTGGATGAAAGTGATTGAAAGTTGAGTAAATTCTTAAGTTAAGTCTGAGAATGTTTTGTGAACTTGGGGCCAGAGCTTAATCCAACATTTTATGTCTCAAATTGGTGTCAAATATTAGATTGAAATCTAACCTCCAGAAAAAAAATTACCTGGGAATTATTTTGAATATTGTAAGGTGTTTGAGTAATTGATAAGTAAATGTGGACCAACTGAGCTAATGAAGAGAGGTAGTCGGGCATACATTTTACCCAGGCAGTGGCATGTCTGCCTACTCTCATCCAATTCCAAATGTCCAGGGTTCTACTATGTGCACATGTGATTGTGACTTTGATTATTTGACGATGTTCTTTGCCAGGCCCTCCATCCTGCACCATTTTTATCCATCAACAGCAAGCTCCAAATGACATCTAACAAACATATTTTGTTTTAAGTATTTAGATTAGGAAAAATGGTTATCAACTGTTCCATACACATTTTATTTCATTTAAAATTCCATCAAATACAAATATAACAGCAAGGGACCATCACAAAATTTCACCTCTTGGGAGGGTTGAATGACACAGAGAAACCAATAAATTAAATGTTAGTTATTTAGTTTTAATTTCACATCAAAATCCATCTTTGTCTGTTAACTGGACTTTGTGAACTTTGATCTCGCAACTCCACCACAAGTCAAAGGTTTGCCTGAACAGGAAATTTGCCCCAAAATAAGAAATCAGTCAATGGGATTTGGTATCTGACTACTAAAAGTTATTTTTTTTACTTTAGAAAGTTCATTTATGAATGAAATCAACAGTTATTTTCTCTATAAACATGTGTGGGTGGGTCGAGATCTATTCACAAGTTATTCATTTGGATGCAGGTGTTGAAATTTTGTGAGTCCCAAAAATTATAATTACACAATATATATACTACAGTAAGGTTTAACAAGTTCAAATGATAGTGTTTACAGAAACAAGAATAATACACAATTTGACATACAGATTGAGATGCAGTGGAATCCACTTCAAAATATAGGGAATTTCCATACAAATTAACGGGGAATGACTCTCAAAATGTCTATAGATTCCTTACAAAATACAGGGTGATTCTTTACAAATGGAATACGAGTAATTGAGTATATGGCCCTCAAAACATAAAGGGAAATCCCTACAAAACATAAGGAAACCCCCACAAAATACAGGGAGATGATCCTCAAACTATAGAGAAACACCATGAAATATAAGAACGCTTATAAACAATTCAAAAGAGTCTGTCCCTTACTATATAACAAAGTACAAAGAATCTAGCCTTAAAACACAATAAATACAGTTAAATTTATAGATTTTATGGGATTTCAAAATTTTTCTTGTCAAACATTTTTATCAAGGCAGATTAACTAGTCAATCAAGGTAGTGTATAGGCGGTATAACACGATTGTACATTTGATCACCTAATTAATCCAGCCTATTATCAACGATAATCGGGTTGAGTGGTAAATATACACTCAGTACACTATATTATTTATGGAATTTTGAATATTATTCAACATACCTTGATGGCTGGGCATATTCCTGGTCGGACAATTTAGGGTGTTTGGAAAATAGCGTTGGACATGTCCGGAATATACGGGTGAAATCTCATCACTGATTGGGACATTCTTTGAAAATCTTGTCTTGATAATATGCTAAAATACTTCTCTTCGTCTGTCCTACACCACTGACAAGGGGAGATACAGGTGGGAATATCTGCAGCCAACACCAGAATCAATCAGGAAACCTGGTTAGTGATTGAAGCCACAAGATTAACTATTGTGACTAGACAATTGAAATGAAATGGGGTTTAACATCTCATGTTCTGCACCTAATGAAGATGGTCACACGCCATGCAGTGTGCTAAGACTACGAGGGACATTATGCCTTGACATCGGCACTGTAGCCTCCTCTTTTTTTGAATTCAAACTGACATGATGATGATGAAATGGGGTTTAACGTCCTACTGTTCTGCTCCTATACTGGGCTAATGAAGACGGGCATACGCCAGTGTGCTATGAGGGAAATTTTGCTAGGGCATCGGCACTATCGCCTACTCTTATATCGAATTCCAACTGCCACGGGATCTTTTAGGTGCATTCCAATATATACACGGGACCTCGGTTTTTCGTATCATCCGAAGGACTCGACAGCTGTCCTTGTCAGGCCCTCCGTTCTGCACCACTGACAAGGGGAAACCACATTGGAAAATTCTCCAATGAACTTTCTCTGCCAATGCAGGGATTGAACACCCGACCTCCAGGCTAGCAAGCCAGATTCTTTTACATGTACGCAGAACCTGTTTTTTTTTATCCCATCCAGACGCAATCTGATTAAAACACAGATCCTATTTCCTCTGTTTTTATATTTCAAAATTTCGTTTTACTTGTCTTTACTACACTAGGATCTGGAAGAGTTGTTATCATTGACGTATTCTGAATGGTGTGAGGGATTAGCCAATGAAACGGTCTGTTACGGTGATCTTTAGGCGCGTTTTGCACAGAACTGTGGGTAATCCACTAGTAACATCAATGCTGATTGGTTAATCAAATGTCTGACATCATAGGGTCAAAAGCAGCTCATATGACCTCTGACACGACCTATCGCTACAACCAGTTGGATCTTTGTGTAGTGTAGGCCATCGAAAGTATAAAAAAACGAAACGAAATATAGATCTGTATTTTAATCAGACTGATCCAGACGACTAGACAATGTTCCTTGTCAGGTCCTCCATTTTGTACCACTGACAAGATGAAAACATGCTGGGAGATCTCGGCTTCTGACTAGACATTAAAATACAAAATTCAAGGAATGGAGAAATCTGTATGCTCAGTTTGTAACTGAACATATTATTTTATCGGCTATATTGCCCTGATAAACGCGTCTGTTTCGTTTCGATTTCCATTTCAACAGCACAGAAGTCGGATCAAAGTTCTGTAGAGTTGGTCCCTCCATTGATATCCGCATCAGTTCATCCAATGTTTTTAAAGTCATACAGCTTCGTAGTTTGGTCTTGATGACGTTTTGTCGTGTAAAACCTTGCTGAAATACAGCACTACTGGACGGTATCACAAGACCTATTTCCATTAAACGGGTCATATTCGGAAATTGTTTCGATAATCCCTCTTGACTTACTTTACTTAAAAGTTCCAAATATGATAAACCCGGAGACTTTTCTGCCATAAATGTCCGAAACGTCGGCCACTCTTTTTCAGCACTACTACGTTCAATAATCATGCTGTCATTGCCCCTTGGCACTGAATTCCCAAAATGGTCTAAAAGAACGCCAATCTCCTTACATCCATAATTCTCCAATTCTTCCATTTCCGGAATTTTTGGGGGAGAAAAAACACAAAATGCAGCCATGATATCGTTGTTAGGGAATTTATCATTTATGTTATCAATAAGCGTTTGTATTGTTTGTCTGACTTGAATACCAAGATAATGATCGTTCTTACCCTTTGTCAGATGCAAATCATAGTAAATATGTGCCTGCTCCGTCTCATTCAGAAACTGTGTCAACTTCGGTCCGTAACCTGGAACTTCACCGAAATAAGTGTTTTTAAGAGACTGAATAAACTTGTCGATATTGTAAACGGCATCGGTATACGGAAAATCAGTCGCTTTCAACATGGTGTTTAGATTCTCGATACTAATTAACAAATCGTGCAAAAAGGTTGTGTAGAAAACAAAGTTGTAGGTTGTAAGTTTCGTATAAAGTGACTCAGATGCATGTTTTTTATCACTGCGTGTTTGTAAGATTTTTATAAGGTACGGAAAATTCTTTTCTAATTTAAGTACTCCACCTGTTAAGATTTGCAGACGGCTACGATTGACTTCAGACGGTTTGACTTTAGATTCATCCAGGAAGTCCTGGAACCCACAGAGCTCACAAAGTTCATCAGGCAATTTCCGCATATAGCTGATCAATGAATCAAGAATGTTTTCGTAAGATGAGACATCATTGCATGATTTGATTGTGTCGACGATAGCAGACGCAAGTCTGTTGATGACATCACTGCATAATATTATGTCAACGATAAGCGGGTTCTGTTTTTTAAATAATGAATAAACACCAACATCTTGATCAATCATAACTGCATCTCCGTCTGATCCAATCCCAAATAATTTCTTTACGTCTATTTTAGAGTCATGTAGAAATGCTAAGAGACTGGTCGTAATGGACTCCGCGGATGAACAGTCGGCTTCTAATAATCTGACAAATCTAGTTTGTAAAATTCCGTCCTTAATAAAGCTGATATAGAGGATGAGATGTTTGTCGGGTGGTAAAACTAGACTGTCGTTCAGCAGAATACCGAAGACAGGACTCGAACGGACGTCATTGATAATGCTATCTTCAATATCATCAGATATCAATTTCACGAATTCAGACGCTGTGTAATAATGACGATATAATTTAGACGTCATTGGACTACCATTTAGCGCCGATAGTTCATTTAATCTTTCAAATTTATCGATGGCAATGTTTTCCTTCGAGATGAAATAGAGATTTCTTATAATGGTCAACATAGCTTGATCTACTTCATCTAAAAGTTCTTCATTCTGTTGTTTTAGTTTTATTTTTGTAAGTGGCTGTGGTGTATTTTTTCCTTCCGATCTGTCTAAAGCATAGTTGTGCTCAGAGGACATCTTGTGTTCCCACAAATTGGATTTACGGAAATTCTGGGATCCAATGACAAAAGTCAGTTTTTTGTTATTACCAAATTCTTCACAAATCTAAAACAGAAGAAAAAGCTTTTTAGTTGTATAATAGAGTGAGTTATAAATTATTTAGTTAATTTTGAATTGTGAGATCCCCTCCCACCGTCCCATATAATAACTTTTCAACTTCAACGGAATTATCAGTAAAATGAAATTCGATCGTTTGTCTGTTACCGCTCGTTACTTCAGTCTGTTATATAGAAGGACAACTCGTGTTTGTCATGTTTGGCGTCACTTCCCGTTTCTTCACGTGCTTGTTACACATCTCCCGTAGCAATGATCTCTGTGTTAAAATTATATTTTGAATTATTTAACCAGTTCTATCACATATGTAATGATGACTAACACTAATATTGTCCTTTAAAGCCCTTCTCTACTTTGACCCCCCCCACCACCCACCTTCCCGTATACGTTCTAATGTATGAAATTTAGTACATAAGACAGTTTCTACAGGCCGAAATCTATCAATTCATACATAACTGTTTCACAGAGTATTTGAAATTTTCTTTTTCTTCAGTCATAAAGCAGCAAACCCACTTACTAGGCTAAAAGGCGGCAGAGGTTTGATCGATATTTCGAAATTAAAACATCTTAAATACAAGGAACATTTGATAGATGTATTCATCATGAGACAGCTAATTAGGAGATGCAATAAAAAAAAAGTGAGAAATAAATTTGGAGAGAAAGATAAATGGGGTTGAATGACCCAAACTAGGTCATTTCAGGTTTAATTTACGTGGTTTCTCCTTGTCAGTGGTGCAAGGAGGGCCTGACAAGGACAGCTGTCTAGTTGTTTGGATGGGAACAAAACTGAGGTCCCATGTAGTCATTGGCTTGCACGTAAAAGATCCCCTGGCAGCTGGAATTTGATATAAGAGTAGGCCATAGTGCCGCTGCCCGGGCAAAATTTCCCCTCATGGCACACTGTATGGCATATGCCCGCCTTCATTAGCCGAGTCAGAGCAGAACAGTAGCACGTTAAACCCCATTTCATTTCAGGTTTAACTGGCTTGCGCGCTCAGGGGTCTTTAAGAGTGGGAGGAAACATGAGGACCAGGAGAAAACCTGTACAAGCCTGGAAACAAAACAACACCACTAAACTCAATGACAGACCTTACATTGAACCATTCTTTGACCCAACCCCCGTGAAATAAATTTGGAACCAGATTACTGTTAAATATACAAGGGAGAGAATATCATTTTTAAATTTCCCTTGTTTACATCCATCAAATTCGATTCATGATATGCATAATTATAAAAATAAATCGTACAAACCTTACAGAACATTATATTACGAGTTGCATTATATCTTAACCAGGGGAAAGAAGCTAACCAATGGGGACTGAATTTACGTTTTGATGGAAATAACGTGCTACCATCTGGTGTTGGAGGGGTCTCTTCCTCCTCCTCCTCTTCTTCTTCTTCCTCATCTGGTGATATGTCTCCTTCCTTCAATGCTGCACTCTTGTGTTCGCCCGAAAACTCGTGATCCCACATACCAGACGTTCGAAAATTTGTTGATCCGGTTATCCATTTGCTTTTAGCTCCATCACCGTTACAGTGCTTCCGACAGATCTATAAATAAATATATTTTGATTGAAATGAAATGGGGCATAATGTCTGATATGGATGCACCAACTGGCCAAATACATATAATATGTTGAGTGCTATGATGGAAAGTTTGCCGGACAGCAGCCTTTATCCATCTTTACATCAAAAGAGTAAGAGATTAATGTCATATATACTATTCAAAAAAAGTAGGGGATATTTGATTTTGGGGGCATAATACTAAAATATGCAAATGACTACGAAAAAAGTCACTATAGAACCTAACAGAAGAAACATTTCCAGTTACATGTGACGCCCAAACGCACCAATAGCTACCGCATGGAATGCAGGTGATGCTTGGGATCATCATGGGGGTCCAACCCAAGATTTGCACGACTCTGACTTTGAATGTTACAGTCATTGTGGCATTGAATTCCAGGGTGGAAACATCAGTTTAATTGTTTAAGTGACCAGAAAACAAATTTTGATATGCGTCGGCTTACCCAAAATGAAAGGTTACGTGCCCTTGGCATGCTACAGATCGGCACAACACAGGCGGTTGTGGCGCGGACGATGAATGTTTCTCAGTCTGTCATAAGCAGGCTATGGTCCAGATACCGTGATACACAATCTGTACAGGACAGACCACGCTCAGGTCGACCAAGGGCGACAACTCAAGCCCAGGATCGATTTATCCGTACCTTGGCCTTGAGAAATCGTGTCATCACAGCAAATCAGATCAGCGCTCGTCTTCAAACAGACACTGGTGTGAGAGTGAGTGGCCAGACAATTCGGAATCGACTGCATAGGGGTCACCTTCGCGCCCGACGTCCTCGCGTGATCCCTTGTTTGAGAGATCATCACATTCAGGCAAGACGTCGTTGGTGTAGGGATCGTCAACACTGGGATAATCGACGCTGGAGCAATGTGATGTTTTCAGATGAGTCAAGGTTCACTGTTGATTTTTTGGACAGACGTAGGAGGGTGTGGCGTCGTCGAAACGAGCGCTTCCAAGACGTTAACGTCATCAGACATGATCGATTTGGGGGTGGTTCTGTTATGGTGTGGGGAGGCATCACTGTTGCTGGAAGAACGGCTTTACATGTTGTTGCAGGGCGTGTTACAGGCCAGTACTACCGGGACAACATCTTGGCAGTCCATGTTGTGCCGTTCGCACGACGTCATGGCCGCCGTTTCATCTTCCAGGATGACAACGCAAGATGTCACAGGGCCAGGATCGTTACAGGTTACCTCCAACAACAGAACATCACCACATTACCTTGGCCAGCAGTGAGTCCCGACCTCTTCCCCATCGAGCATGTCTGGGACATGCTTGGACAGAGGTTACGTCAACGTCAACAACGTCCTGCCAATGTCCAAGAACTTGCTGCTGCGTTGCAACAGGAATGGGACAATCTGGACCAAAATGACCTTAGACGTCTCATTAGGAGTATGCCACGTCGGATCAATGCTTGTTTGGCAAACAGAGGAGGATTTACCCGTTACTGACTTGGTTGTGATGCTGTGGTAACTTTGCTGTTTGACCCCGGGTATCATTTTACCCTTATAATGGTCAGTCTGTGCCTTACTTATTCTAACGATCATTTGGAATAAATCGATGAATGTGAACTTCATTTCATTTTGTCATTTGTTTCTTCGTCAGTTTCATAAGGTGACTTTAATAACACTTAAAAATCAAATATCCCCTACTTTTTTCGAATAGTATATTTAAAAAGTAACCTTGAATTATTTACAGAATGGATTTCACCTTCCTGTTGTGGCGTCTGCAGGGATGACAAAAAAAAGTTTGCCTAATCGCGCGGATGGAATGAAAACCGAGATTCCTATTTGTCTCAAAATGACTGAAATATCGTGTTGATCTAATAACCTTCTATCATGATCCCATATAGCAGATGGTCGAAAAATTTGCGATCCCATTATTCAGAAAACCCACATTTCATTTTGATTTTATTTTACGTCAAGCTCCACACCGATAAGAAAATGTACAAACCTTACAGAACATGCTCTGTGTCGATTTATCAAATCGTACCCATGGAAAATCTTTCAGCCATTTTGGATTAAACCTGCGTTGTTGTGGCCGTTTCGTAGCTCTTGACTCATCTTCATCATCATCCCGCTTACGTTTTTTACCAGGATCATCGTTGATAGCAGTTTCGTGGTCATCTGAAACAGCGTGATTTAACAACGCACCTTCTCCATAATTCTCAGAACCACTGACATACTCATTCTTTAACCCATGCTTCTCACAAACCTACATAGAATCGAAAAAAGTAGTTCTTTAATTAGTTAGAATGGAAATAAGTGGTTCTTTAATTAGTTAGAATAAAAAAAAAAGTAGTTTTTTAATTAGTTAGAATGGAAATAATTAGTTATTTAATTAGTTAGAATGGAAATAATTAGTTCTTTAATTAATTAGAATGGAAATAAGTAGTTATGTAATTAGTAAGAGAGAGAGAGAGAGATTAACTTCCACTTGACACATTCTAGGTGCTTTCGGGACTAAAAATGGTTCAATTTTATTTCAATAATTCGCTTGCGCATAGGTATCTTTAGCAGTAAGAGGAAACCAGAGGACCCAGAGAAAACCCAGGAGGTTGGACAGGCGATTCCACTCCTTGTCACATACAACCGGGGAATCCAAACCATGCCAGCTGACTCAATGACAGACCTTATGATGCAACGCGCACATAATAACCTTTCGGCCATACAACCATAATTATTAACACTGTCCAATTGGCCTTGGCGATCTATTTAAACACGATACACTACAACTTGGTTACCGGTATTGTTTAGTTTCTGTATTTAATGTTTAGTTGGCAAATTGATCAAATTTGTTTAGAATCATCAAACCATATTTAGTTCCTACTGTTGCGTAGTTTAAAATAGTCCATCTAGATTAGATAATCAGTGTTCAGTTTACAACTGTTACTTTCACAAGAACTGCTGAGTAACTAACAATAACAGCCTAAAAATGATAAATAATTTAGGCCTGCATATGTATAAAACCACAGTAAACAACATTCAACTATTGCAAAGTCTAATTCTCTTGGGAAAGAAGTGTCGACCATTTTTATTATTTCCCATCATGTCAAACATGAAACAAAACATTGAAAAATCATCACCCATCGATTGGGGTTGATTACTCAAAAAGAGTTGCTAACAAGTAGATCTTAGTTTATATTTATCGCCATTTGTTTAGAAAGTTTGTCATGATTTTCCAGTGTGGTTTCCCTTTATCAGTGGTGCAGGACAGACGGCCTAGCAAGGAACAGCATCTAATCATTAATACTGACTGGAAAACTGATGTCTCATGTATACGTTCGACACGTGCATAACCTATCTTGTAGTGCTGGGTATTGCCACTGCAGGTATTGGAATTCAGGGGCTACGATACGATTTGTCTCACGATTCATAACCAGGTCAATATTTACCAAGAAAACAACAGGATAAATGAATAATTGATATTTTAAGCCCTGCCGATGACGTAGAAATAAACTGTGTTTATCACGATATTGATGTGGATCAAAATAAGGACCAAAACAATTTAAGACTGTTTGTGTACCTATTGATAATGTGTGACGTGGATAATTAAGAGTGACAAGTTAATTATTGTAGCCATAAAAAAAAAACATAAAAAGAATCGTAAATAATCAATTCAGTGTCTTGCTATTCAATTCAACGATATATTGTACCAGCATTACATTATTCATTAGAGACTAATAGCCCAGTTGGTGTGGACAAGTAGGACAATTCCTTCTATACTTACGATCTAAGCTATACATTATTATCATTATTATAGAAAAACAAAATGGAGTATCATCATAGGTAATATTAAAACCACAAAATTTTTGACTAATTCAAGTTAAACAAACCTGACAATAAACTTTATTAATAGAATTGTCATATCGTAACCATGGAAATATTGTCAGCCAATCAAAGTTGAAATCTTCAGGAAGATTCGACGACATGGAAACATCATTGGATACAGTCGAAGCTGAGGCTGTCGTAGATGAAGTTAGTTCAGGTTGAACCACTTTCTCGGAATCCTGGGAAGATTTCGGGGACATTCCTGCGGATGAAGGTTTAGACTTTGTATCCTTCATCAACACTTTTGAAGATATGTTCCCAGATTTGTTTCCTTTTTTAGAATAATATTTTTCGTGTTTGTCTTTATTGAAACGGTCATCTTTATCCATGGCTACTTTATGATACATTGATGCTGAATGTAGATATAAACGACTAATGGTAAATGTCTGAGTTCCACTGATAAATTCACTTTTATATTTCAGCTCATGTTTCTCACAAACCTACAAAATAAAATAATATACTTTTAAAGCCCCATTATGCCAAAATAAAGGTTAAGAAAGAATATATCTAGAAAATGAAATAGAGTGTTACGTCCTCCTGTTTTCGTCTGACTGGGCTAAAGAAGACGGGCATATGCCATACAGTGGCCTATGAGGGAAATTTTGCATATGCCATACAGTGGGCTAGGAGGGAAATTTTGCATATGCCATACAGTGGGCTAGGAGGGAAATTTTGCTCGGACAGCAGCGCCATGGTCTACTCTTATATCAAATTCAAACAGCCAAGGTACCTTTATGTGCACGTCAATGTGTACATGGGACCTTGATTTTTAATCCCATCTGAATGACTAGACAGCTATACTTGTCAGGCTCACTGCCCTGCACCACTGACGATAAACTTTCTTGGCCAAAACCGGGATTGACCTGTGACCACCATGGCTCCCAATATATCTAAAGAGAAATGGGGTTTAACGTTTACAAACTAGGTCATTTTCTAAGGTTAACTTAGTATTACTTGTATTTTGGAATCTGTGACCTTGGTTCTTTAGGAAACTAGTGGGGTTTTCTTATTTTGGATAAAACTATTGGAAATGTAACTGCGTTTTGACGAAGTGATAAGATTATTAGTTTTATTTCTTGCTTGTAAAAGTCCCGATTAATTTCAAGTTTAGATTTACGCCAGGGTATGCAAGGGTATTGCTATAACAAGGACCAGTGTATACATGTATAGCACAGATCAATGTTATAGGGGTAAATATCAAGGTCAACTGCAGATTTCATCATGGTCGCAAGATGTAACTATGGTAAAGGCACTTGATGGTTGACGAGATTGTTAGTTAGGGTTAGGGAAAGGGTTAAGGTTAGTGCTAGCCCTGTTTACATCTCGTGACCTTGACAAAATCTGCAAGTGGCCTTAATATTTAGACCTAACCACTTATAGTGAAGTTTTAGTTTTACATCAATAATAACAAACCTGACAATACATCTTGTTGCTATTCTCTTCATATCGTAACCATGGAAACTTTGTCAGCCATTGCAATTTAAAATATCTGGTGTTTCTTGGCCTGGGTGTAGAGGATTCCCTTACTTTTTTAGAAGATTCTCTTGCTTTCTCCATCAACCGCTTTCTCTTCTCTGATGTCCGCAATGTTCTCTCATCTGAGGATTCAACTCTATTTCCTAAGGATATGTTGGGTCTCTCTGAGAATTCATTTGTTTTCTCTGAGGATTCATTTGTTTTCTCTGAAGATTCATTTGTTTTCTCTGATGATTCGTTTGTTTTCTCTGACAATTCATTTATTTTCTCGGATGATTCGTTTGTTTTCTTGGATGATTCGTTTGTTTTCTCTGACAATTCATTTGTTTTCCCTGACAATTCATTTGTTTTCTCTGACAATTCGTTTCTTTTCCGCAATGATTCGCTTGTTTTCTTAGAAGATTCCTTTGTTTTCGGCAATGATTCGTTACTTTTCTGCAACGATACGTTTTCCTCTGATGAATCATCATTTAACTTGGCTACATCATTTACCTCCATTGGTTCCACGGTACTGGTATTTGGTGCACTACTGTCACCTGCATCTTCCAGTCTGATGTTAGAATTTGATTCACTCTGACTCTCACTGTCATGATCTTTGTTGAACATCTTCACTACCTTCCGATGGTCTTTGGAATTTTGATGGTCTCTTAAAGCCGATATACGATAATTCAACGAACCCGTAACAAAAACATTCTTTCTGCGTCCATTTTTCTTTTCCGAACAAATCTGAAAATAAACATTAAATATGAACTGAATGGAATGGGTAGTTTAAAACAGTTGTCCCAGATATATTATAAAATTAAAGCTAGGTTGCCAGGCAAACTCGACACAAACTAGGTCATCTCGGGACGTACATATGGTTTAATTTTATTTCAATAATTCACTTGTGCACAGGGGTCTTTAGCAGTGGGAGGAAACTGGAGGACCCGGAGAAAACACACGAAGTTGGACAGGCAACCCTATTCCTTGTCACGTACAACCGGGGGTTCGAAACCACGCCAGTTGACTCAATGACAGGCCTTATGACACAGCATGCACATGCTAACCATTTGGCCATCCAACCCCCCATGCCCACAGCAGCCAAGTCTTCCGGGCATTCAACATGGGTTGTCACTTATTTTTTTAATTTTTTCTGTAATGAAACATTAACAAAACACTAAAATATGTTTCACAGTAACAACTCATTAAGTAATTATCAGAAATCAGTAAAATTGGTTTGGCTTCTAGTTTTGTCCCATGTTAACGTTTAGTATACAAAACATTTAATATTATGGATTTAGCCGTTCAAGTTATCACAACACAAACCATTGAAAATCAATATACTTGTTCGTCTCAAGACTCTGTGTATAAATTTAAAGAGAATTGAATAATAACTTCAAAAATGGCCAAAAGAGCATCCACAAGATTTTTCAAAGTACAATCAATCAAATGATACCTTTGGCCTGTAGAGCATCAACAAGATTTTTTTTAAATAATCAAGGGCCATAACTCGAAAATCAATAGGATTCTTTGTCTCATAACCTTAAACCCTGTGTATTAAAATTTTTAAGTCAACTGGATATTAACTTTAGCCTCTAGAACGTCTACAAGATTTTTCAAGTGATCAAGGGCCATAACTCTGGCAATAATTCTCAGAAATTGTTGAAAACCAAAAAGGTTCTTCGTCTCATTAAGTTTAGTGTGGAAGACTCTTAAAAGCCTATACTATATAGTCATGTTAACAATTTAAGATGTGTAGTATCGGGATGGCAATAATTAAAATCGACAAATCCCAAGTCTCTAAATAACTTAGTCCAAGTAACCCAGAACATCCAAGTCTTCAACATACTGAGGATCTTGATCTGTTGTCCACAATGTCGATATGTGACTGGATAATCAACCCCAAAAATAACCAACCAACTGGTTATGCAAGGTCAATGGAATTTTCTTTAGGTAAAGTCAAGAAAGAGTTGCATCCCTTCTCGAAATAAATTGCACAATTCACTTGGTTCATGAATTATGATAAAAAACATGAATCATGACAACGAATTAAAAATTGTCATACTAGAGGGTCCTTAAGCTGAAAACTCTATTTTTCTGGGCCCATAATCCAGGACGTTACGGTCTGATATGCCCTATTATTGAAAGGAACTAAGATTTTTCGGATATAAACACACATTTTAAGTTTCATTCAAAATCAGATACAAGTTGTCACAGGGTCCACAACCTTGGTATTACATACTTTTACACTATTTGCTTACAGGGAGTGGCCATTTCAAACACAACTGTCATTATGGTGTAACACAATGTATTTAATGGTTTTTACAACCAAATAAAATTGTGACCTCTAGAGGGTTCCACAAGCTAAAAACACGATTTTTTGTACAATCATGGGTCATAACCCACGTAGTCACAGTAAGGTATGCACCAACATCAAAAGAACATACATGATAAGTTTCATCAAAGTTAAATAAAGATTGTGACCTCTAGAGGATCTACAAGCTAAAAACTCTATTTTTCATATAATCAAGGACAATAATTCATGAAGTTTCTATCCAATATGTTCTTTGCGATATAAACCTATCTTTCCAGTTTTGTCAAAATCAGATAAAAATAGTGACCTGTCGAGGGTCCACAAACAAATGTGAACGGACGGATACACAGACAGACGCAGAGGGGCGACTACAATATATATACACATGAAAATATGGGAGTATAAAAATACAGTTAGATATAGAGTTCAATTATTCCATCAAGCCTTCTGTAAATGTTTTGTGCTCTCCATTCCTACTGATTGGAAGTCTCTCACACATTTAAATGTGGACCTAAAAGATATATCCCTGTATACTGGAGAGAGAGAGAGAAATGAGGTTTAACGTCCACTTGACACAAACTTGGTCATTTCGTGACTAACACATGGTTCAATTTTATTTCAATAATTCGCTTGCACGTAGGGATCTTTAGCAGTGGGAAATGAAATGGGGTTTAAAGTCCTACTGTTCTGCTCCGAACTGGACTAATGAAGACAGGCATACACCATACAGTGTGCTATGAGGGAAATTATGCCAGGACAGCGGCACTATGGCCTACTCTTATATCGAATTCCAACTGTCAAGGTATCTTTTACGTGCACGCCAATGTGTACACAGGACCTCGGTTTTTCATCCCATCCGAAAGACTAGACAGCTGTCCTTTTCAGGCCCTCTGTCCTGCATTACTGACAAGGGGAACCACGCCGGAAAATCGGGATGAACTTTCTCGGCAAATGCAGGGATCGAACACCCGACCTCCAGGCTAGCGAGCCAGCGTCTTACCCACTTAGCCACTGTGATCCCCCTTTAGCAGTGGGAGAAAACCAGAGGACCAAGAGAAAACCCACAAAGTTGGAAGGCGACCCTACTCCTTCTCATGTACAACCGAGGAATCAAAACCCCGCCAATTGACTCAATGACAGACCGTATGATACAGCACACACATGCTAACCATTCAGCCATCCAACCCCCAGGTATACTGGAAAAAATTGAAATGAAAACTAACCTTACAGTACATCTTGTGTGATTTGTAATCATACCGTAACCAGGCAAACATCTGTAACCATTTCATACTGAATGTGCGAACTTTCGGGCTAGGTGCTGGTGGTGTGGTGGTACAGGCCTCGATATCAGATGGATCACCCTGGTTTTCCAGCTTGTTGATGGCCAGTTTGTGGTAATTTTTTATCTCGTGATCAAGTAACGCACTCCGGTTAAAATTCTGCGATCCACTGACAAAACTGTTTCTTACATTTCCACTATATTTACAACATGCCTGTTAAAAGAATAAATTTCATTTTCACATCAACCCATTAGCACTTGGTTCGCTCGCCCGTAACCAGTGATCCTTAGTATAAGAATTAGTAGACGGTCCTACGCTATGGAAAGCTATTTCTGTATCTCCTGCATGTTGAGGCGGTCTAAGGACATCAGTTTCTGGCAGTTTGAGGTTACTACGGAGACAGAGAGAGAAATGAGGTTCAACATACACTCGACACAAACTAGGTCATTTTGGGACTAACACATGGTTCAATTTTATTTCAATAATATGCTTGCGCATAGGGGTCTTTAGCATCGAGAGGAAACCAGAGGACCCGGAGAAAACCAGAGGACCTGGAGAAAACCCATGAGGTTGGACATGCAGCCCAACTCCTTGTCACGAACAGCCAGGGAATCGAAACCACATCAGTTGTTATGACAGACCTTATGATACAGCGCGCACATGCTAATCATTCGGCCATACAATCCCCCAGGTTACTACGGAACAGCACAGCAGGCTGTTTAGGGATATGGGCTATCAGAGCAGTCAATATTTGCAAGTATCAGAAGCAAATGGGTTAAAGCCTTTAATCAACATTTGAAGGACTTTGAATCTGTTGCAAACTACAATTTTTGTGGACATCTAAAAGAAATGAAATGTAATTTAACATTCTTCTTTTTCGGAACCGACTGGGCCAACGCAATACAGTGTGCTATAAGGGATTTTTGCACGAACAGTGATGCTACGACCTACTCTTATATCAAATTTCAACTGCCAGGGGTGAACACTGGGCCTCAGTTTTTCCTCCCATCCGAACGACTAGACCGCGCCAGAAAAAATCCAACAAGGGAAATAACCCGAGACCTTCTGGTTAGAGAGCAATTGCAGCTCCTGAATCTCTCAAGTTAAAGCAATATCTGTCCAACAATGACTATTAATGGGTATTATACTACTGTATTCACCTTACAAAACATTTTATCCACACAATCATCAAAATGTAACCACGGAAACAAGCGTAACCATTGGTAGCAGAATTTAGATTTTTGCGGTTTCTTGGCAACATGATCATCATCGTCATCCTCCTCGTTGTCTACAGCTATTTCATGATCTGTTGATCTTTCATGATCAGTTAAAACCTCCTCGTTATAATCTTGTGATCCACTCACAAAGTCATTCTTTACTTGATGCTTCTCACATAGCTAAAATATTAACCACAAATACCATTTATAAACTTAAATTAAATTGATTAGTGGCTGTTGCTGTATGGGTGAGATAAATATACTCTATGTAAAGAGAGAGAGACTCAAGGGGGATTAGCATGTACATCAATATACATACACCAAGGTAAAATATATCTGCAAGGCTTTTCTAACAGCATTATAGCAACACAAGCAAAGCAACTGCACTACAGCCCCTACCAACATAACCACTCACAGTTCACAAATAAAAATGCATAGTATTTATTTATTAGCCAGAAGTCAAAAAATATATAGATTAGCAGAGAGCCCCTATGCTCATGGGCCCCCCACCCCAACCACTCAGTGGATATTTACAGCTGGCCCCTGGATCCATTTTAAATTTATATAGTTTATTTCTAGCAATGTCTATAGTTTGTCTTTTCTGCAGGTTTCGTCTTGTTGGTTTTGATTTGCATGTAGTGCCGTACCTCTGCACTCACTATTAGAGTAGAGTTTTAGTCCTTTGTACTGCAGAATGTTCTCGTTGTTTGGCTTTGTTCCCTTTTGCTCACTACACTTTATTAATCTTTTTTAAACATTTTCCAAGATTCTATCCGGATTATTACCCTTTTCTTATAGTTGTCTGACGTTCTAACTGATGACGTCAACTGTCAGACTATCGCTGTTCAAGAGACTACCACCATCAAGATCGGTTGCAATATTTCTGTTATGTCTTTCTTGTAAATTGTAAATCATATATATATATTTTTTTTAAAATTTTGAATGAAGCTTGTACCATTACAAGCCCAGAATGTACAGTGCGGTGAACACTTACGGTTGGTCCCCGGATCCATTCACTTGATTTGTAATGTGGTCCTCCGGTACTTATTATTAAATCACAATAAAATGAAAACATACCTGACAGTACATTTTTCGTGAATCATCATCAAATCGTAACCATGGAAATTTGGTCAACCATTTGAGTTTGAATCTACGTGGTCGAACGACGTGGTTGGTTGGGGTATTACTGACGACGTCTACAACTAGGTTTGTGATGTTATTGTGGGTGGCTTTGGTGTCATCATTATCAGTCTTCTCCAGTTTATGCTTATGCGCTGTACTGACATGCTCCTCTAACAGACTAGCAGACGTGAAGCTATCACCACAGACTCGACATTGATGAATTGTGTTAACAAAGTCTGTCTGCTCTTCTTTGACATGTGTTTTACTGTGATTAATAAACTCTGCCTTGCTATAACAAATCTCGTTACAGATCGCACATTCACGTAAAATATCCATCTTCCTGGAAGATAAAAAAATATTTGAAATTTATGGGAATGAAATGAAAAGGGGTTTAATGTCATACGTTTCTGCACCAGCTGCAGATGGGACCTGTCAGTGGTTTTTGACTATTAGAGCAATATGAAAATACCACTCTTCCTCACTTCTGTTCTAAGGATAAATAAAGTAGGGAAGAGTGGTATTTTCATATTGCAGCTATATATAGAGACGGATAGGAACGGTCAGCAGACAGGGTCTGATCAGAGACCATTCCTTTATAGCCCATATAGGGACGGACAGGTATGGTCAATGGACAGTGTCCGATCAGAGACCGTTCCTAAAGAAACTAGGGCCTACTCTTATTTCTGTCAAGGGTTAATTTCTTTTACGTGCATGTATAATTGCCATTGTGTAGCCTGCCAGGCCTTCATTTTGTCCTGCACCACCGATTTCTGCGGATGGCTTTTTCTTCCATAGATTTAGAGACATTATTCAGGTCTGATTTTTTTTTTTAAAAATGAGACTTAGACTGTAGTAGATTACCGGTAAGTTACCAGTATTCTGTTATGTTAGGTTGTTTTGTTTATTTTCAAATCTTTTTGGATTTTGGTTTAATAATTTTTTTAATCACAGACCAATTATCTGGGAGACTAACCCCAATGTCGGATAGCAGCCTTAAAACATAATGTCACTTGAAAATTCTTGTGACCTGAAGACTGACTGTCGTACAAGTCCGCGTTCTGTCAATCAACCATTTCGATACCGAGGTTCTTTGTCCGCCATATTAATCGGTCATGTCCGATTTATATTAAACACATATTTAATAAGATGACATTCATAAGTCACACAAATTACCATCTATCTAACTGTCTTGGGACATCAGTGATTTAACTATATCGAAATTGTTAATTCTAATATTGATATGAAATCCATAATCAGCAAAATCAACACCGTAACAAAGCACGGAGGCCCAGATTCATTCAAAGAAAGACAACTCTTATTTGGAGACGTTACGTACCGGAACGCATATAATGGAGACGTTTCGTGCCATTTCTACAACACTTGGAATTCTCGAGGAAATATTTGATCTTTTTGGTCAACCAACCTTTAACAAGTACTTAATTAAAAAGAAATTACAAAATGAATTTAAAAGACTACCTTAATTTATTTTATATAAAATGACTAGATATCTTTGATATAGGTTCAATTTAATTAGTCGTGTAGGACTATAGCCTACTGATTTGTTTTATAAAGTACCTGTAGTAAAGTTGTCTATATTTACAAATTTACACAGTTGGGCTATAGCTTAATATTCTGAAGATTAATCATATTGAATATGAATAAGATTTTATTTCGAATTAAATCAAAAAGGTTTTCAAGCCTTTAAAGATACTTCCTGCATACAAACTGGGTGATTTGATGATATATTTGGACTAATTAATTTATCAAAATTTTTCTTCAAATCCTTCTGAAGACATTATATTCGCGAAGGAATACCCTGCTATAAATATATATTAAAAGAAGCTATGTTTGTATATGACTTGGCCGACATGGTAGGCCTACCTTGCAATGGGTACGAAACCGGAGCAGAATTCATTGCACATACAAGATGATGTTGTCTGTATTCGCTGACCATTTATCATAAACTCTTACATTTTTGTCCTGTATGCACTGGAGGCCATGGGTGTTTTTCAGGGAATCCAATATTTTTTCTATTAAGATTGGATATTTCTACTTTCCTTATATACCAATATTGGCATACTTTTATTAGAAATAACCACCCAATAAATACTTTTGTGGGAAAGTATCTGTGAGTTCCAAATGTGGGCAGAGGACAGCATAACTCTCAAGATCAACACAAAACTGAGCATAGGCCTACCTCAGGCGCGGATCCAGGGGGGTGGGGGCGCACCCGTCGCACGCCCCCCCCCCCCTTTTTTTTGCAGTGGCGAACAATTTTTTAGCCCATATATTCTTGCAGGAAAGAACAAAAATACTTAAAAATGGTAGTGATACCCGTCATAAATGTCAGTCCGCCCACTGAGGGCCAGGCTTCGCACTCCCAAGTGGGGGCAGCACGCCACCCCCCCACTTCTGAAAATCCTGGATCCGCCCCTGTAGGCCTACCTCACACAAATCTCAAATGTTCCAAAGAAAGCAAGTACAACTCTGCCTTGTATATTACACACCCACTACTTGCACCTAGGCCAAAACCAAGGTTCTGTATAAATTTCTCTTCTGTTGTTTTTGGGTGGTTTTTTTTTTAGCAAATGTGAATTTTTGTCTCATTGGAATACTATGGTAGGCCCTAAGTCTGTATTGGTTACACTAAGTTAGTAGTCATCTGATGGTTTTTATTTAAATAAGCCAGATGATCTTCTCATTTCTTAAAGTCTCTTAAAGTGGGGGTGTGGGGGTCTAGTGGTTTTGTGGTTTAACATGTGCGTGTAAAATCACCATGCTTGATATTAAGTCAAGTGGCGTGGTTTCGATTCCTATCTTGAATGTGACAAGGAGCAGGGTCGTCTGTCCAACCTTGTGGGTTTTCATTGGGTCCTCAGGTTTCCTCCCACCGAATTATTGAAATAAAATTGTACCATGTCCCAAAATGACTTAGTTTGTGTCGAGTGGACATTGAACCCCATTTCATACTCTCTCTTAAACCTGAATCTCTTAAGAATAATATTGGTCCAAAATTGGTTTAATCCAGAGTTCAGAATCCACCACAGATCATATAGAAGTTATAGTCAATACAAGCCCGTGCCACCTTTGATTTTCAATGAAATGTTTTGATGGGCCTCTTTTTAATCTGATTAGTCCAAACCAGGAGATCTACCATTGATATTTGGAGCCTCAGTGAATAATACGCTGGCTGGCAAACCTGGAGGTACTGTGGTCGATCCCTGCGTTGGCCAAGAAAGTTCATCAGGAATTTCCAGCGTGGTTCCGCCTTGTCAGTGGTGCGAGCATGACCGAGTGCATGGCAAAGAACAAGGCATAGTAATTCGGATGGGACAAAAAACAAGGTCCTGTGTACACACTGGCGTGCACGTTAAAGATCCCTTGGCAGTTTGAATTCGATATAAGAGTAGGCTGTAGCGCCACTGTCTGGGCAAAATTTCCCTCATAGCACACCATATGGTGTATTTAGCCCAGTCGGAGCAGAACAGTAGGATGTTAAACCCCATTTCATTTTATTTCATTTCCATTGATATGTTGTTTTCTTATACAAATGTTAGCATGAATTAAGCCATGAAAAATTTGATATTGTATGATAAATTCAAATGACGATCAGTGACTTTATATATTACCAGGGGGGTTGGATGGCCGAATGGTTAGCATGTGCGTGCTGTATCATAATGTCTGTCATTGAGTCAACTGGCGTGGTTTCGAATCTCCGGTTGTATGTGACAAGTAGTAGGGTCGCCTGTCCAACCTCTGGGGTTTTCTCCGGGTCCTCCCACTGCTAAAGACCCCTACGCGCAAGTGAATTATTGAAATAAAATTGAACCATGTGTTAGTCCCAAAATGACCTAGTTTGTGTTGAGTGGATGTTAAACCCCATTTCTCTCTCTCTCTATATATATTACCAATTTGCTCAAAAAATCAATGCTGTTAGATGTGAACTAATTAATAGATAAATGCAAAGGTAAGGACACATTGAAAAACATGTTTTTAAAGGAGCGTGAAACTGTTGATTTTGAGCTAAGACAGTTGAGAATTACCTGTAAAGGTCTAGTTTTAAGAACAGATCTACCTGACTTACCGATGCTGTAGGCATTTGCACATGGAAAAGAGAGTGCATGACAATTCTGCAGTCTGAAAAAGAGTGTGTCTAAAACACAAATAGTGCCTTTTCCCCTAGAAATCCCACATCAGGTAGCCAGGAAATATAGTTTGTCTCACAGTATTTGTTCTGTAAACAAAAGCCTTTCAACTTCTATACAGTTCTTCACTCGGGTCATTTGCGCATCTAACTCAACCACCTTGAAAGGTAGTTCTACAGTCTGTTTAAAACACAGATCCTATTTTGTTCCTTTTTTTATAGTTCAGAATTCCGTTTTACTTGTCTTTACTACACTAGGATCAGGAAGAGTTGTTATGTAACCCGCCTTCTGGTTGATGTGAGGGATTTGCCAATGAAACGGTCTGCTACAGCGAGTTCTTGGCGTATGGTGTACGGAATTTTGGGTATCCCTCTAGAAACATTAACGCTGGTTGATTAATCAATTAATCAATGTCTGATGTCATAGGGTCAAAAGCCACTTGTATGACCTCTGATGTGACCTCTCACTACAACCAGTCAGATCTTCATGTAGTGTATGTGGGCCATCGAAAGCATAAAAAAACGAAACGAAATATAGATCTGTATTTTAATCAGATTAGTAGTCCTACTAATTAGAATTCTCTTCTTCAATGTCTTTTTTCTCTGTTATTATCTGTCAGACAATCATTTTCCCAACAATAAGATGTCCATGTGGGCTTTGTAATGGCACCAACATTAGCATATTGATCAAATAGAAAAACACAAAATATTCCTGTTGTTATGGCACCATTATTGATATATTTATCAAATGGAAACACCAAAAATATATCTGTTGTTATGGCACCAATATTGGTATATTTATTATCAGACAGAAAACCCCAAAATATCTTGGATGTTATTTGGCACATAAGCAACCATTTTTTCCAACATAAAGAACACCCGCATGGGCTTTGTAATGGCACCAATATTGGCATATTGATCAAACCGAAAGAAAAAAAAATTTAGTTAGTCAATATGCTCTTTTAACCCTCGTGTGGATACAAGGTGTATTTCGTGACGTCTAGAACATCCCTGTGGTTTCCAGCAAGCCGATTCAGGTCACAAATGGTTTATTCCTGTGGCAAGGAAAAAAGAGAAAGAGAGAGAAATGGGGTTTAGCGTCCACTCGACATAAACTAGGTCATTTCGGGACTAACATAGGGTTAAATTTTATTTCAATAAATCGCATCGCTTGCATGTAGGGGTCTTTAGCAGTGGGAGGAAACCGGAGGACTCGGAGAAAACCCAGGAGATTGGACAGGCAACCCTACTCCTTGTCACGTTCAAGCTGGGAATAGAAAAGAGAGAGAGAGAGAAATGGGGTTTAACGTCCACTCGACACAACTAGGTCATTTCGGGAATAACATATGGTTTAATTTTATTTCAATAATTCGCTTGCGCATAGAGGTCTTTAGCAGTGGGAGGAAACCGGAAGACCCGGAGAAAACCCATGAGGTTGGATAGGCGACCCTACTCCTTGTCACATACAACCGGGGATTCGAAACCACGCCAGTCGACTCAATGACAGACTTTATGATACAGCGCGCACACGCTAACCATTCAGCCATCCAACCCCCCCTGGGAATAGAAACCACGACACTTGACTTAATGACAGACCCAGAGAAAACCCACGAGGTTAAACAGGCAAATAGACTCCATGTCACATTCAGGCAAGGGAATAGAAAGCACGCTATAAAGAGAGAGAAATGGGGATTAATGTCCACACGACACGAACTAGATCACTTCGGGACTTACATATATGGTTCAATTAGGGGTCTTTAGAATCGGGAGGAAACTGGAGAACGCAGAGAAAACCCCCAAAGTTGGACAGGTGACCTTTATTTCCGTTAGAAACATTGGTTGCAGAAAAAGAAAACATTGAATCTGCACTGATTTTGGCAATAAACAATATCTTGTGGACAATAATGACAACAAATCCTTCTAACTTCAAAAAGAACATTATTTAGGTGGTTTTGAATCATTTTAGTCTAATAAATATGAGTGACAAAGACGTTGTAAAATGTTTTAATAATCATGATAATGAATCCTTCACCCATGAACATTTGAATTATCACGATAAATGATCTCATCATGATAATCCAAGATATCGCAATTGTTCATTTTGAAATAATCCTGATTAATCACAATTATTTTTGTATTTATCGTTGCATTCTTAATTCCATATAAATCATGTTTATGTTTATGTGCTCAATTGCTAAATGCCACTCAAGGATATTTCAAAATGATTCTGAGCTCCAATACACAATCATAGTACATCCGACATCGTATGGGATCGTTCAAATATGCCAGATTACACAGCACGACGGAATACTCAATATTGGAAGTATTATGGAACCTTTGAATACCGGAAGCATAACCTCCTTTGGTTGTTTGTATTTGGTGGCAAGAATTTAATATTTACGTTGCTATAGTGCTCGCATGTTTATCACACAATGATCCGTCGGATAATGCTCTAAAAAACAAACCGGTTTCATCACAATAAAAATGTTTTCAGGGGAATACCCTTCAATAATAGACGGAATGCGCACACAAAATTCTTCAACGGTACCAAGATCAACACCCGCACTTTCGCCACTATCTTTAAAGGCTCATTCGACAAACCTCGGCATACTCCGGTACCCTAGATTCGTGGAATTGGCCGAGGTGTGCCGAATGTTTAAATGCTTTGATGTTAAAACCAATCATGCATAAGGTAATCAACAAAGACTGACAAGGTAATCAACAAAACCAATCATGCATAAGGTAATCAACAAAGACTGACACGAGTATTGATCTGACCTTGTCAATCTTTTGTAAGTGAACTCACGACGGATTGAAGGCCGGATTATATAATGTTAATTCAATGCAAATCGTGTGACAGGACCACTGATTGAACGCCGGATTATCCAATATTAACTCAACGCAAATCGTGTGACGTAACCGCTGATTATGTCATAATTCGTAATATTCAGAACACGGATTACTCAAAACTTTTTTGATTGAAATAATGAGATAAATCGAGACATGAAACTGATGACAGATTTCACATAATGCTGTAGTATTCCAAAGCCGGATGTGACACAGAGTCCACTGTAGTTTTGAGCTCCAATACACAATCCTAGTAGTTATACAGTTTTAATTTTTAGCAATAGATGTATATGAATGTTCCATTCGCAGATATTCTATATCTACAGGATGACTACATGTAACACATTTATACTCGCTACCATCCACCACTGCCTTGGCTAAATATTCCTTCAGATTGGTCTGTACTTTGTTGTAGATCGAATTTTCACAAGAGTTCTCGATATCCACAAGTATTTGATCTATGTCTCGCAACTTTCCACAAATACAACATGATGACAATGTGTCCGGTGGCATGTCATTGAGAAGATTTTGTAGAATGCCCTTCGCCAATTTCTCGCAATCTGGATTTCCTTTATGTTGCTCGACTTCTTGGGATGTCGGAAACGACTTCTCACAAAACGGACATTTAAGTCCATGGTGCATTTCAACATGTTTTAGAAGTTCCTTGGAGGTGAAGAACTCTTGGCTACAGATGTAACAACTGAACAAGCAAACCGTGTGACTTACTTGTAGTCGATGTTGTTCAAGGGCATGTTGATCACTGACCACAAAGTTGCAGATTTCACACTTGAGACTCGTTTCTGCTTCTTCAACGATATTATGATGACGTTTCTTGTGTAACCGTAGATGCCCATTTTTGGAATACGTACACGGGCAGAGGTTACATTTATAAGTTTTTTCTAGCCTGTGCACCAATATATGAGACTGTAATTGATTGTTTAGTTTATAAGATTTACCACAAACATCACATTTAAATGGCTTTTCAGAACTTACCGGCGCATGAAGCTTTAAATGTTTAGTTAGCGCTGCTTTGTTTTCGTACGTTTTTCCGCAAACTTCACACGCTTTATGTGTTTTGATATGTAGCATCAACCTCTTTGAACTGGACAATGTCCTCTTACAAACATCGCATTCAAACGGCTTGGTGCTGTGACTTTTACTATGGAGTATCATCGCTTCTTTTGTGAGAAACGATTTGCTACAAATATCACATACATGTATTTCTGTTGTCTCGTTGCTGACATGCAAAGCACTATGGGTGATTAACGCGTTCCGGGTATTAAAAGCTCTTTTGCATATTTTACAGTGGTGTGACTTCACGTTTACATGAACATGCTTCATGTGACTTTTTGCACGATAATGAACGTCAAACTCTTTATTGCAAATTTTACATTGATAATGTCTTCCGTTCTCATTCAAAGACAAATGAGATTTATATAGATGAGACCAGAAATGTTGGCTTGTGACAAAAGTTTTCCCGCAGACACAATTGAACCTTTCTGTGCGACCTTTATATTTAACTAGAGCGTCACATTTACTTTTCAAATCTTGTTGGTTCTCGTCACCCCGATTACTGACCACCTGATGGTCATGTGATTGTAGATGACCTAATATGGATGATTGACTAAAATTCTGCGTACCGTTTACGAATTCATTTTCCATTCTGTATCTTTTGCACAGCTGAAATTAGAGAAATAATTTGAATGCAAGATTTTATCGAGGCATTATCACTTTCAACAAGAAATGAAATAAAATGGGGTTTAACGTCCTACTGTTCTGCACCACTCGGGAAAATGAAGACAAGCATGCGTCATGCAGTATTCTATGATTGAAATACTGCCCAGACAGGTCATTTTCCACTTACTCTTTGTCAAATTCGAACTTTCAATGTAATGCTTGGAAGGAGTTAACAAGAATTCAAACTTTCAAGGTAGTCCTTGGAAGGGGTTAACTAGAATTGAAACCTTCCAGGTAGTGCTTGGAAGGGGTTAATTAACTAGAATTCAAACTTTCAAGGTAGTCCTTGGAAGGGGTTAACTAGAATTCAAACTTTCAAGGTAGTGCTTGGAAGGGGTTAACTAGAATTGAAACCTTCCAGGTAGTGCTTGGAAGGGGTTAACTAGAATTGAAACTTTCAAGGTATAGTAGTGCTTGGAAGGGGTTAACTAGAATTGAAACTTTCAAGGTAGTCCTTGGAAGGGGTTAACTAGAATTTGATCTTTCAAGGTAGTGCTTGGAAGGGGTTATTTGAATTTAATCCAACTAAAAGTTGATCCAAGTAAATGTCAACATTGCAGATACTTTTCAACCTTAATGCAGCCTCAGAAACAGACGCTAACCATCACATAATACAGAGAGAGAGAGAAATGTGGTTTAACGTCCACTCAACACAAACTAGGTCATTTCGGGACTAATATATGGTCCAATATTATTTCAATAATTTACTAGCGCGTATAAGGGGTTTTAAGTACTGGGAGGAATCTGAGGACCCGGAGAAAACTCCCGAGGTTCGACAGGTGACCCTACTCCTTTTCATGTAGAAGCAGGATATCAAAACCACGATGACAGACCTTAAACCACTAGACCCTCTCCCCCCCCCCCACCCCCAAGAACATGTTACAAACCTGACAGAGTATCTTCTGGTCAGTTTCATTATACTGTAGCCAGCTGTATATTGACAGCCATTCTTTGTTGAACTCATGACGAACCTCTGCACTATCCTCCACCACATCAGTACAAACTCTGCTAACATTTACTGTGTCTCTGGCAAGATTTTTCTCCATTCTATCCACTTGCTTGTGACTTGTGGAAACATTGTGCTTGAATAGAGCTGATAATATGAAAATGTTTGAACCGCTCACAAAATCAGTAGACATTTTATATTTCTCACAAAGCTGAAAAAAAAACAAGAGGAAATAACTCTCCAGTAAACTGTTCAATGGCAGTCCAAAAAAAAAACATATTTAAAAAACTTGTCTTGATAGACTTGTAGTTGCAGTTTTATGTGTGGCTCAAAGGTCGAAAGTGAGACATTAAGTAATATATTGATACAGCACGAGGATGTTAGCCCGAGTGTTGTTTCAATATACACAATGTCTTGCTCAAGATCATTAAACAACTTAAAATACAGACACTACCTGCATGTGCATTTCAATGACTTTTGTGTCGAATACTGATGTGCTACTAATCTTGTTCTTTTTGTTGATCATGGGGGCGATGCTCCTCAAAAAAAGACTAAGGTGCCACCAATTCATGTACAATCAATATGAACTTGACATGCCTGTTCCTTGGACAATTCCCCATCTATTGACGGACTTCAATTTTTGATATAGCGGCACAATTCCAAGATTGCTATGATGATGTCGTAGTCAATTCCTGGCGTCCTGGCCCATAGAACAGTGGTGCTTATTTATATTATACTTTATATAAGACACCAACAGCCTTCAATATTGTCTTCCCCATCAGATCATTTTCAAAAAATAGCTTTCTTCGCACCATTCCCTCCATTTCACCCTACACCCTCGCATAAACTTAAATAATGGAACAGCCCCGTGAACAAACCTGACAAAACATCAAATCCAAACCATCATCATATCGTAACCAAGGAAACATAGGCAGCCATTTTGGATCAAACGTGTCAGAAATCGAATCAGCGCGATCTTGGGACGAGTCTTTAACGAAGTTATCTTCCCCTTTGAGAGCTTTCTTGTGTTCTGGTGAGGTTGTGTGTTCAACCAATGTTGATCCTGTGAATGTCTGTGATCCTGTGACAAAATCATTTTCTACACTATGTCGCTCACAAAGCTGAAAAGGACAAAAGACTTTTAACACACACATACAAAATCAAATAATATGGGGTTATCAAATGATATGGGGTTATTAAATGATAGGGTTATTAAATGATATGGGGTTATTAAATGATAGGGTTATTAAATGATATGGGGTTATTAAATGATATAGGGTTATTAAATGATAGGGTTAATAAATGATATGGGGTTATTAAATGATAGGGTTAATAAATGATATGGGGTTATCAAATGATATGGGGTTATTAAATGTATGGGGTTATCAAATGATATGGGGTTATCAAATGATTAGGGGTTATTAAATGATATGGGGTTATCAAATGATATGGGGTTATCAAATGATATGGGGTTATTAAATGATATGGGGTTATCATGTGATATGGGGTCATCAAATCATATGGGGTTTAACACTCTGGGATAATGAAGACAAGCCTTGTTCATGACATTGAAAGAACCTTGAACTTTGAAACTCAATTTTCACAGGGAGAAATTTAAATTGGAAAGCGTAAGACATGGTATTTGCGATGATATTTTCTATCAAGGAATCTGAAAGGTCTAGAGCAAGGTCCAAGACCAATCGAAATCAGTGACAAAATGTAGAGTATTACATGACAGCCTTGATAAGATGTATGGAGTTAAATCTAGATCAAGCTGTCTATGGAAGATGGAAGACGGGTATAAAGCCATGCAGCGTACTATGAAGGACATTTTGCCAGGACATTAGCGTTACCATCTACCCATCATCAAATTCAACTTATCTTTTACATGCATGTGCATGGGACCTTGATTTTCTATCCAATCTGAAGACTAGACACAAGTAGCTGGTCAGGACTTGCCTCAATGTGCCACAAATTACTCGTAAGTTCACATAGCTAACACATTTTATAATATTTTGTATTCCAAACCTACCTGACAATGAAGACGATTTGTAAAATCATCACATCGCAACCATGGAAAGTAGGGAAACCATTTAACAATAAATTGACGCAAGTCTGAGTCATCAGCTGCGTTCAAACCTCCATCATTATAGTCATTCTTACTATCTAGTGTTAACTGTGCTATTAGAGCTGATTTGTGAATACCAGATGATTCATGTCTTTTAAGATCTGTTATCCGAGTCCAACAAGAAACCATAACAAATCCATTATGTTTGTCACCTCTATGTATCCGACAAACCTGATGAATGATAAAAATACATCTTAACAAAATATACTCTTCAAAAAAAGTAGGGGATATTCAGAAACAACACAAAACTGCAGAAATGCACTGCTGTTTTTATTAGAGGTAACCAGTGTATGTTAATAATTGGCCAACTGCATACACGTGAACATAAAAAGTTCAAATGGGCGGCTTATCTGACGGCCCCATTTCACTCACAAAGAGATACACTGTCAAAAGTGAAAATGGACGTTTTTGATTTTTGTCTTAATAATGTGTAATTGCTCCACCAATCCTTAGACATTCAGCAATTCGTCGTGGCATGCTCCTAATCAACCATCCAATCACGATTTGGGGCAATCTGACCCTCTCCTCTTGCAGTGCCACAGCAGTGTTGTCGGTTGACGTCGACGTCGACGAACACATCTCCCGATCAAATTAAATGTAACACACTAAAGCAAAGATGCGCTAACAGTAAATCTTAAGCAAGAACCGATAGGAAAACAAACATGGATAGGATAAACCAGCAAGCGGCAGTTTTCATCAACCCTTCCTTGAAGTGTCAAATTTGACAATGACCCCCCCCCCCCCCCACGTGTAATGCGCTATTGCGTGTTGCATGTGCAGCTCAGTGGTTCTGTTGGGGCGATAAGTTCTTCATCTGTGAACATACTCTCAAAGCATGTCAAGTATCCATGACTATTTATCATATCACAACCTGCATAGGTATTTGCATTTCAATATCACCTACTTTTTTGAAGAGTATATATTAAGATAGGTTGCCAAGCAAAGAAACATATACCCACAGCAGCTAAGGTTGTTTATTCTGGGAGCCATGGTGGCTAAGTGAGTAACACACTGGCTCGCTAGTCTGGAGGTAGTGGGTTCGATCCTGATATTTGCCGAGAAAGTTCATCGGGATTTTCCGGCATGGTTTTCCCCTGTCTAGTCATTCTGACGTCCTGTGTACACTTTGGTGTGCATGTAAAATATCCCTTGGCATTTGGAACTCGATATAAGAGTAGGCAGTAGTGCAGCTTTCAAGGCAAAATTTCCCTTATAGCACACTGTTTGGTGTATACCGGTTTTCATTACCCCAGTCGGAGCAGAACAGTAGGACGTTAAACCCCATTTCATTTTATTATTGTTTATTCTGATCAGGAGTAACTAATCTGTCATAAGTAAATATCCGAAATACTTTGATGATAACTTTAGCTGTTTGAGTTACCAGGTATCTATAACTGTTGAAAATCTATAGGCTTCAACATAAATATTAATCTATAGGATGATAACTGTAGCCTCTAGACGGACAGTCAGGTGGACGAATGGGGTGATGACAATATAGGCTATGCCTGTTCTCCACTCCCTATTCAGATACAAATCTGAATAAAAATATTGTGAATAAATTTATCTGGAAGCCACAAAAATAATAGTTTTGGTGACAATTTGCCCCCCCCCCCCCGAAAAAAAAATGATGTACTTTCTTGACCAACACTGGGATTGAACTTGAGACCTGTTTAGTGAACCAGCAACAGATTTACCAAGCCACTGTATGGTTAGAATGTCTATACTGGTTAGAATGTCTATCCTGGTTAGAATGTCTATCCTGGTTAGAATGTCTATTCTGATTAGAATGTATATCCTGATTAGAATGTCTAAACTGATTAGAATGTCTATACTGGTTACAATGTCTATACTGGTTAGAATGTCTAAACTGGTTAGAATGTCTATAGTGGTTAGAATGTCTAAACTGGTTAGAATGTCTATACTGGTTAGAATGTCTATCCTGATTAGAATGTCTAAACTGGTTAGAATTCCATACTGGTTAGAATGTCTATAGTGGTTAGAATGTCTAAACTGGTTAGAATGTCTAAACTGGTTAAAATATCTATACTGGTTAGAATGCCTATCCTGGTTACAATGTCTATACTGGTTAGAATGTCTACACTGGTTAGAATGCCTATCCTGATTAGAATGTCTATCCTGATTAGAATGTCTAAACTGGTTAGAATGTCTACACTGGTTAGAATGTCTACACTGGTTAGAATGTCTAAACTGGTTAGAATATCTATAGTGGTTATAATGTCTATAGTGGTTAGAATGTCTATACTGGTTAGAATGTCTAAACCGGTTAGAATGTCTATCGTGGTTAAAATGTCAAGACTGGTTAGAATGTCTGTACTGGCAATTTTTGGTTGCAGATGTTTGATGTTTTCAAATTGATCACCATAAATCGATCTACTCTTCAGCTAATTTACAAACCAGTTTATGTGCAATTATTGTCGTAAATAAAGTATGTTATAAACAAAGGGTGTCTGCCATTGATAGGACGACTATCAACTTGTGTCTTGTACTACCAGTGGTCAGTTCATTTGAAAATGGATAAAAAAAAAACCCTGTTTGACATATTGTGGATTTAAAGATCACAAAATATAAACATGGTTTGCTAGGCAATGAAACACACACCCACTACATGTAAGTAATCCAAAAAGATTTGAGCCAAACAAAACGAGATAAATGGGGTTAATGTCCACTCACCACAAATGTGGTCATTTTGGGAGTAAAATATAGTTCAATTTTATTGCAATAATTTGATTGCGTGTAGGGGTCTTTCGCAGTGGGCAGAAGTGGAGGGCCTTGTCATGTACCAGCCACTTGACTCAATGACAGACCTTATGATCTTATGATCTCAAGTCCCCCCCCCCACAACCTCCAAACACACATGAGAGAGAGAGAGAGAAATGGGGTTTAATGTCCACTCGACACAAACTAGGTCATTTCAGGACTAACATATGGTTTAATTTTATTTCAATAATTCGCTTGCACATAGGGGTCTTTAGCAGTGGGAGGAAACCAGAGGACCCGGAGAAAACCCACGAGGTTGGACAGGCGACCCTACTCCTTGTCACATACAACCGGGGATTCAAAACCACGCCAATCAACTCAATGATGACAGACTTTATGATACAGCGCGCACACGCTAACCATTCAGCCATCCAACCCCCCAAACACAAATGAGCTGTACATATCAAAATGAACACATCACATTTAACCCTCTATTTTTCGAACCAATCTGAAAATAAATGTTAAATATGAACTGAATGGAATAGGGAGTTTAAAGCAGTTGTCACAGATATATTATAAAATTAAAGTTAGGTTGCCAGGCAAAGAAACATATGCCCATAGCAGTCAACAAGGGTTGTCACATATATGAGAACATTTCAATGTGGGCGTATAAAAATGTAAATAACAGACGGGGGTGATGACAATGTGAACGTTTATTAAATCAGGATTAACCAGATCTAAGTTTACTAACATTAACTGGACAATTGGGACTAGACCACATCTCTCCTCGAAACAATGACAACTGTAGATCTAAATATAAAGAAGTACAAACCTGACAATAGATTTTATCTTTTACTTTATCGTATCGTAACCATGGAATCGATGGCTGCCATTTTTTAAAGAGGGACCTGATGACAGAATTTGTAGCATTGTCTTCTTCATTGTAATCTTCATCATCATCTTGTTTCTTTTCTACCATTTCTTGTTCTATTTTCACTTTCTCTTCATCTTCTTTATCAACAGCCACCTCGTGATCTGTTGATGCCTGATGATTGGATAAAATGGCTTCACGGAAATCTTGTGAACCATTGACAAAATCATTGTTGACTTTATGTTTCTCACACAGCTGTAACAAAAGAATGAATGAAATAAGAGCCTTGATTTGATGTGTATAGGCTTGTGTGAATGGAAGGAAATGAAATAAAATGGGGTTTAACGTCCTACTTTTCTGCTTCGACTGGGCTAATGAAGATGGACATAGATCATACAGTGTGCTTTGAGGGAAATTTTGTCTGGACAGCTGTGCTATATAGTCTACTCATCAAATTCCAACTGCCAAGAAATCTTTTACGTATATGCCAATGTGTACAGGGGACCTATGTTTATCCAAATGACAATACATTGTCTCTTGTCGGGCGCTCTGTCCTGCACCAGTGACAAGGGGGAACCACAGTACCACACCACTGCACTTTCTCGTGAATGGAAGGGAATAGTAATGTCAATACAATACTTTGGTCATTTTTCTATGGTTACAAGCAGAATGTGACGAAGGAGTATTTTGTCAAGGCACCAGTATTTATACCTAAACTTCCACAATTTCAAACTGTCATAGCTTCTTTTATATGCTAGTCAATTGTTACACAGGTGGACCACAGTTTTTCATACCATCTCAACGACTAGGCAAAACATTCTTTAACAGCTGTCTCACAATTCTAATTGAAAGGGGCTACAGCATTCTGAACATCTGAGACACGCTACCTGTGGAGAAGTATATCAGACACAGTCAATAGCCATGATATCCATATCACATGATCTACACATCACAGGTCATGACATTGACGTCAATGGGTCATGAGGTCAACAACACGTTACATTGTAAACAATAGGTTTATCTTCAGCATTGTGTCCTTTGCACTCATAAAGACTATATAATTTGTACAGTGACTACTGTCCCAACATGTTCTCTCTTCTTCCAATGATTTTTCACAAAAATAAAATCTACAACTCATATAATTGACGTTATCTTCAATGACAGCGTCTGCGAATGGTTGTTCATAGAGGCTGCCATCTTGGCACTATTTTGTGCGTCCGTTGTGTCTATTTCAGATATACACAATCAATTCTGTTGATGATTTTAGCGTTGGGATTGACTAATAGTTAATTTATTTCAGTTCTAAAACATATATTTTAAACTTTAACGCAAATTTAGAAAATAGCCAAATTCTGGCTGGGATTACTGAGCAAAATGGCCATTCACTGTATACGTGTGAAAAAAAAGCTAGCCACCAATTAATTTTCGTACGTTAGTTACGTACAGGGCTACAGCTTGCTCATTATCTAGATCCAGGTATTGGCTGAGAAAGTTCCTCAGGATGTTCCAGCCTGGTTTCCACATGTCAATGTTGTTTCCCCTTATCAATGGAGCAGTAGGGAGGAGGGTGTGACTAGGGAAAGTGTCTAGTTATTCGGATCAGTCATAAAACTGAAGTCACCAACACACGTAAAAGAACATTTGACAGTCGGAATTTTGATGAAAAATTAACAGACTGGTAAAATTTTGATATGGAGAGAAAGTATGATATACTAGCGGATGACCTGGAGCTGCACAGGTTTGTGCCCGAAATCAAAAGTAGTATAACTCAAAACCTACTCAAAGGCTCTCAGCCCTATGTCCCCTCCCCCCCCCCCCCCCCAGTACGAGCTACCCCTATACACGAAATTGCAGTCTCAGGACAGTCTTAGAGTAGCCACCAACCCTGAACAGATAGACAGACAAACAAACGACAGTTACAAATATTAATATAGATATGTGCAAAAAATGACAGGAAGTAAAAGCCTACCTTACAAAACATAGTCCGTGTTGAATCATCCAAACGTAACCATGGAAACTTTGTCAGCCATCTTGTATTAAACCTGCGAGAGCGTGTCATCTCAGACGTGTTCGAACTTGTAGACACCAGATCCCGAACAGATTTCTGTGTAAAAGTAAGACAGAGATTTACAAGACAAATTTACAATACGAGAATAGAATATAGGTTTCTAAAAGTCATCCAAACATAATTACTATTATATTTCACTCAGTCTTTTATTCTTAATACCCTCAAACCAAAAACTAAATCTCAATCAAGTACTTATATCTCAATCAAGTACCTATATCTCAATCAAGCATTGTACCTAAATCTCAATCAAGTACCTATATCTCAATCAAGCACCGTACCTAAATCTCAAGAAGAGAAATTGGTCATGCACATTACTGCTGGAATGTGCACCTTAATTTCCATTTAATTCCTGTTCATTTTGAGTGATGCCTGTTTTGTTACAGTACAGTGTCGTGGACGGTCACGGCTGACCCCCCCGGATCCATTCACTGGATTTGATATTTGTTGTTTATTTCTTGCAATGTCTGTGTACTTTGTCTTGTCCGCAGGTTTGTCTTATCAGTTTTGTTTTGCGCATAGTATGATTTTCCTGCATTTACTATTACAGAATCAAGTCCTGACTAGAGAGAGAGAGAGAGAGAGAGAGAGAGATGGGGTTTAACGTCCACTCAACACAAACTAGGTCTTTTCGGGATTAACATGTGGTTCAATTTTATTTACATAATTCGCTTGCGCATAGGGGTCTTTAGCAGTGGGGGGAAACCGGAAGACCCAGAGAAAACCCACGAAGTTGGACAGGCGACCATACTCCTTGTCACGTACAACCGGGGAATCGAAACCCCGCCAGTTGACTCTCCTGACTAAAGACTCTAATTCTTATACTTTGAAGTACTTCTGTCTTATAAACGAAAGGAATCGCCTATCATAATTCTAGCTCGTTATTTACTAAGTTCCTCACCTTGTCCAAACTGTTGGAGCGTTTCTAGGGTCGCCATTTTTGACTTTTGCATAATTAAGGAGTTTTCAGCATATAACCAGCTAAATGCAAAGCGGGGTTGGATGGCTAAATGGTTAGCATCAGGTCTGTCAATGACTTGATTGAGTCATCTGGCGTGGTTTCAAATCCCCAGTTGTACGTGACAAGGACGAGGGTTGTCTGTTCAACCTTGTGGGTTTTCTCTGGGTCCTCAGGTTTCCTCCCACTGCTAAAGACCCCTACGCACAAGCAAATTATTGAAATAAAATTAAAACTTGTAAGTCCCGAAATGACCTAGTTTGTGTCGAGTGGACGTTAAACCCCATTTCTCTCTCTCACTCATTATGCAAAGAAATAGAACATTAAGAGTGTATCCACGAGAAGACCATGCAAAAATCGCAAAAAGTGCTAAGATGGGAGTTCAGAAGTTTTTGATCAAACTTATGGTATGACACCCCCTAGGGGCAAGAGGTAACATGCTGAAGTGGTTACAGTCTGATGTCGCTCTAAAGGACTGTACAGGAATTATTCATTTTATGGGAAAAATTGCGGTTTTCACATGTGTATTTATCACCCTTTTTAAGCACAGACTGCATTCTATGGTGGAATAGCAACCTTCTAATTTTGACCCTGTCGGATAAAGCGGGTGGTCAACTTCTACCCCAGCACTAATTTGAAAAAAAAAAATCAGTACATACTAGTTTTGTGTGGACTTGTTTTAGGGTACCATATTCACATTGTCCTTATAGTGCAGAAAAAGATACACTGTAACTTTTTCTTTCATGGTCACAAGTAGAATTTCTTTGGATGGTTTTGAAGTGCTAAGCACATAGTATCCATAGGTGTAAAAAAAATGACCGGAATGCAACATACTTAAAATATACAGCTTATTGAAAAGTGCTAAAAATAAGCTTTTGTGATACATTTTTTTGCAAATTTAATTAGAGAAATAAATTTTTTGACTTTTATACGTTTTCATCATATCCATAGCCATTATTTGTACCATGTTGTACTCTATATAAGTGTGTATTTGTATTTATTGTATATTTGGTATTGTCATATTGTCCCTTTAACATATTTGTTGTATTGTCTCTTTAAGATTTCATTTTCAAACAAGTTACCGAAAATGGCTACAAAATGTTTAATTTCAGAGCATGTTTCCACTATTCATTTTGGGACACATCCACTGATTTCTACAATACAGAAATGTGGAAGCTTAAATATTAACGGCAACAAAGCCTAATTGCGTCGAAGTGGGTGACATTGAACAGTGTAGCATGGTAGCTACAGCTCTCGGGCACCGTCAGCTGCACCTTCAGGGCCGGATTTAGAATAAGAGAGGCCCTAGGCAAACCCCCTGAACAGGGCCCACGACATGGACCTTGGGGCCCTGGGACAAGCAACTCGGTGAGAGGGTGGGTCGGGGGAAGTCATGCGGTTGGTGGTTCGAATCTCACTTTTAGGTGAATTTTTCATTTTCGTTGGATTATTTTATTTAAAATAATGTCTATTTGAGAGTAATGGATATGTTTGTTAAGATTGAGCACGTTGAAACTCTAATGGAAGGTCGTGGACAACTGCAGAAGTCAATTCCCGTTGACGCCAGATGAGCCATGAACGATTACAGGCCTTTGAACAGGCATCGATATTTCCGCGCACATGCGCACGCAGGCACATTTGCTTTAAAAAAAACTTTTTTGCAGGCACAAAGAAAAAATTAAAGAAAGCCGCACAGTCGTATTTAAACCCCATCGTCCTTCTCTGTACACAAACTCGGCGCTCGAAATTTACCACTGCAATTAGACGGCAAAGCCATGGTAAAAGCCGACGTACGCAACCCATGTCTGTCACTGCATAATTTATTTTTGTGTGCCGTAGTAGACCCTATCATCCCAAATTAGTTTAAAGAAAGATGTATTGGTATTTTGTTTATTTATACTAAGAAGATGTGTAGGCCTAGGTCTATTCATTTTACAATTATTCTACGGTCTTTATATTTGTTTATTTGCCGTAAATAGGTCACCCAGACCAATTTACGGCACTCCAATGTTAAAGGTTTGAATGTCGTAATTGTCCAACACGTGCCTGCAAATTTTCACCATGTTTCTTATTTTATTTCATACCTGTGTTGACCGTGGATTTGCTACGGCCCGAGAGTAGGACTAGGAGGACGATGAGAGCTTTCTCAGTTTCTGCCTGACCTGATTCTCATTCAACCATAATAATAATAATATTCGTGAGACACGTACAACAACTTTACAAACAAGTCAAATAATACCACGTGTTTTAATTATCAATATCCAACTGTTGTCATAATTCGTTGTACTCAAATAAAACACAAACACCGTTTTAAGAATCGTTTTGATTTTTAATCTCAAAGTAATAAAGTAATATTTGAAAAAAAAACCAACAAAACAACAAATACCTAAAGGTCCTCAACTTATCTATCCAGAGAAACAGAGTGGGGCGGGACAATTTTATGCTCGGTCGGGTGGTGTCAAAAAGTTTTTAGATCCCTGTATCATTGATGAAAATTAAGTGAATTTGGTAAAATTTGAATATATAAATGGAAATTTTATTTGCACTAAACCAAATACAAAAGGCAGCAGATGCTCTGAAAATACACCAAGAAGGGTTTAATTTTCATAAAAGACCACGCCCCCCTCCCAAAAAATTTTTGGGCTCGCTCCGCTCCCCGAATATATTTTTGCACCACTCACCAAATCCTGGCTACATCCCAGTGTTCCACTCTGTTTCAGTATGACCCTGCAGGCACATTTTCAAGTGTGTGCGCAGGCACACTCAACTTTTATAGAGCCCTGCCTTTGAAAGTATTTTTGTTCAAGATATTTTTATAAAACAGATACTAATGTATTTTAGTGCTGGTAGTAAACACCATATGAATGAAAAGGAAAATAAATTGTTAGTTTTTTTTATCTACTACGGTTAATTATCTCAAAAATAGGGAAATTACAGGTTAATTTCATGGGTTATTGTTTCCTTTACCTAGTTTTTGTCAAGTCGATTCCAGCCATTTTTATTTTTTGTATCAAATGTTGGGAGGTTGCTTGTTCACGTGAGCATAAATTTTTTAAACCCACCCCATGAAAGAAGTAGCTATAGGGCGTCAAACTTTGGGTGACGAAAAATGGGGAATTTAGACAGGCTTTGATATCCAGTCCGTATACAGATCTCGTTCGCCAGAATCGTCTGAAGTTAATATTGTGGTAACAGCACTGAGTCATCGATAAACTGTGTGAGTTTGGTCTTTCTGCTACGTATAGTAAAGGTGTAAGGACTTGCCAAAGTTGGTATTTGAGAAAAGACAGATTTTGGCAATTTCACCATATGAAAAATGTTTTTTCAATTTTCTCATACAGGAATTGAAAGATTTATCTAATATTGCACATTTATGTGTTTTGGGACTATCCCAACTTATAAACCAAATTTGGTCAAAATCTGTGATTGAAGCCTTAGCACCTTCTGCATGGTTTACTCGCGGACACGCTCTTAAACCTCATTTCATTAAATTTATACTCACCCAACGCTTATGCTGACCTTTGGCACTGTATCTCCCCGTACTTCTACTCCGTTCCTCCATCTCACTGATTTCATCATCTTCGGGTTCTTCGTCCAGATTCACCTCGATCTTCACGTCCTCAAATATGGTCGATGTCAAATCATTTAACAGCGATGTGGTCATCGTTCCAACTGTAGACACATTCATTTCAATCCCAATGACATCTGCGCCACCTTCCACTGGTTCTTCTTTAATGTGTAGTTCACAATGTTGTTCCAGCATTGCTGCTGAAAGGAATTTTGCATCACATAAATTACAATGATGAATGGTTTTATTGCTGGGTTTTGCATCCATTTTTCTGTGGTTTTGAATGTCAATGTTGTTTGAAAATATCTTATCACACAAGGCCCATCGACGTGCAGCATTCACATCTCAGGTTTCCTGTAAAATAATAATATCAGGTGGGACAGAGGATAGGTTATGTCGTTGCATAAAGAGAGAAAGAAATGGGGTTTAACGACCACTCGACACAAACTAGGTCATTTCGGGACTAACATATGATTCAATTTTATTTCAATAATTCGCTTTGTTTTGGGGAGTGGGAGGAAACCTGAGGACCCTACTCCCTGTCATGTACAACTCCCCTGATCAGGTGGGGCAGAGGGCAAGATTATGTCGGTGCACAAAAAGGGTGCCTCACTGTGCTGTGTAAATGTACAAAAGGTATCACTCGATCTGTTCAACGTAATAAGCAAAATTCTTATGGCAATCCTAAACAAACAGCTCACAGACTGGTCCTGGATGTAGGGGAGACCGGGGCACATTGAACCAGTTTTTTCACATAAATGATTGTCCTCCTTCCGTATTATAAGTTTTTAAAAGTAGATCTCTTTACTTTATTGTATTGTTTGAAGACATATCATAGTTACTATGGTGTATCATATTCAATTAATTTAATCTTAAACCTTTTTTAAAAAACACATTTTAATATACTGAACTGTAATGGTTCAATGTACCCCGCTGTACAAAATAGTCGGGGCAGGTTTAACCACATAATGGGGCACATTGAACAGTGGTAAAAATTCCATGTTGAACATAAATCTGGATAAAGATCACAAACCCAGTCACTTGTTTCGTAGTGATCTAATGAATTTGCAAACAATCAGTGCTTAGTTGAGAACAAAAATCCACATATTTGACTTCTGTGCAACGATTAAACCAAGCAGGAGTCTAGATTCCCTAGGCTCCTATAAATCACTGTAAATCGCACGTAAGTGAATCAAACCAAAATTTGTCCAATATTCTGTCTAAATTATCAAATGATATATAGACTATAATGCACTGGGGTACATTGAACCAGTGGTTCAACGTATCCCATTGACAGTTGTTCAGTTCAATCTGCCACATCACATTTTTATGCTCAAAATTTAAAAAAATTCAAAATGGATCAAAACCTTGTTTATCTGGATTGTAGATTAGACATATATGAACTAATTGTAAGTACAAGAATTTCCTAGGCTAAACAAATTATTAAATGATATATAGTCTATAATACACTGGGGGTTCAATGTACCCCATTGACATTGGTTCAATCTGCCCCGGCTACAGTTTCATGATTAAAACTTTTTAAAAGTTCAATACGCCCTCTATTGATCAAGCCCTCGTTTACCTTGATTGTACATTATAATTAGACATATAATATTATATCAACTGATTGTAAGTACAAGAATTTCCTAGGCTAAGCAGTTTTTACTGCTTAACATGTATGGAAAATGATAAGTGGAAGTTGTGAATTTTCACTTTTAAGCTCTCTTTTGAAAATAACCATTGCCTAAAAAATAATTGACAGATATAAGCTATGTAGATGAAACATCGTACATTCTTCCTTCCATACGCAGATAGTATTCAGGAAAGTCAGGGAACAAAAACAAGATTAGACTGTGATAATAACAAATAAACTTTATTTAAAGTAGCCAAGTCTCTAACTCAATATCATCCAAAATCTTCAACTTTGAAAACACGAATTATTTGTCAATTTAAATCAACACTGATGCTGTGATCTTACCGGAAAAAGATGGGCTTCTGTCAAGTTCTGATATCCAATATTTAAGACAAAATAAACATTTTACCATTGGTACACAAATCATGTACCATAATGCGTTTCAGCCCCAGTTCTAGCAAGAGACTCGGGGAACGAGGCTAGACACATTGCACCAAATCAAACGGCGTATGTAGACTGGAATAACCAGACGCAAGAAATTTGAATTCGATTGAGACTGCTGGCTTATTTCGTGGAACATAACTGATTTGAAATTAGAGTAAAAACGGAAACCATTGAATGTAAATCAGTTTATATACATTCATATTACAGTATTATATGCGTTGCAACCCACTTCTGTCTATTTCTAGGTCCCAAATGTTAGCGATTTAGCTCCTTTAAACTTTTCTGTTATGTACGAAAGATCTACGGGACGGGTCAGGGGGCGACCAGTTTTACTACCACGTTTTGCTCTGTACAGTACACAGATTTAGTAATAAAGTTTCTCGGTAGTCTAAACTTCGACATTCACAAAAAAATTACCACGACTGTCTTTCACCTTTGTGGTATAAGGGGCCTACGGGTATTATGATTTAAACCAGCAAGCAAAACATTCCACTAAGTTACAACAAAATAATATTATCCAACTAAAATTATATTTAAAGGGAAATAACTCCACATTTGGGACGTTTCGTGCCAGAGCAAATTCACTGAAGTTGATTCGCACTGCCGCACGTTGATTTGCGGTATATTATGCATACCGAGGTTTTAATTGTAATATTTTTTTATTTTATTCCCCAGCTGGATGGGAATTCATCACTATTATTTGTTTCAGTATACTGATGGTGGCTATTGTGGTTTTTTAAAACATCAGCAGCAGCTTGGGAAAATGCTATATATGATCAAAATCAGTCAATTATTTGACAAATTTTGAATAAAAAATGAAACTAAAATTAGAAATATAACCAATTTCTGCCTAATAATCTGAAACGAAAATGAAACCATATTGCTAATGTCGCACCACTAATTGAAATAATATACATGTGAGTTTAATGTTCACTCAAAACAACCCGGCCATTTTGGGACCATGGTACAATTTTGATTTCAATAATGCATTTGTGTGTATGGGGGTCCTGAGCAGAGGAAGGAAATGCACACTGACAGAGAGAAAACACATAAGGTTAGGCAGATGTGCCACTTGAACCAACGATCTAATTCGACCAGGTAAAAATAAGTAGGCCTATTATATGTAATTTAACCATTAGTCACTCATGGGTAACACTGTTTTACACTCACCAAACAAACTTAGTTCCCTCATTTTTTTAATCTCTAATTCGTCAAACTACATGCACAACATTTATCGACAATCTCAATCTACATTTTCAGCAGAGACTTGCAAGTTCCTCCTTAGCCAACCAACATGCAGAACATCTCCAGTTGATCAATAAACATGAGAGCACACCCCTAGTTGACCAATAAACATGAGAGCACACCCCCAGTTGACCTATAAACATGCAAGAACATCCTCAGTTGACCAATAAACATGAGAGCACATCCCAGATGACTAATTCCACATATGAGCTGACCACAAATATGATGTGTGATTGTCTTCAAACTACAATCCAGAGATAACAGATGGTAATTGTTCGCTGCAAAAAATGGAGTAATCACAATGAGGGGTACTCAATTGAATTTCTGGAACACTCACCTTGCATACAGAAGCTTCCCGGAACAAATTAGTATGTAATGGTTAGGAATAACAACATTTTCTTTATAACAACAATTTTCCAAATTTTTATTGGGAATACAACAAGAGAAATACAACATTTTGAAACAGTAATGTAATTGTGTACATCTGTTGGACAGCTACACAGGATGACATCAGAAAATATGAGAAGTGCAACGAATCTCAATCCCAAGGTCTTATTTGAAGGAAGCAGATGACTGTCTGAGCTTACAAAAGGGTTCTGCTTTCATAATAATCATCATCACTGTAACCATTCTGAACATCTGAGACACGCTACCTGCGGAGAAGTATCTCAGACACAGTCAATAGCCATGATATCCATATCACGTGATATACACATCACAGGTCATGACATTAACATCAATGGGTCATGAGGTCAACAACATGTTAGATTGTAAACAATAGGTTTATCTTCAGCATTGTGTCCTTTGCACCCATAAAGACCATATAATTCGTACTATCGTCAGACTTTTTAATTTCACTTATCCATATATCGATGACGTTTTATCACTTAATAATCCTAAATTTAGTGATTATGTAGAATTCATATATCCTGATGAGCTCGAAATTAAAGATAGGTTGCCAGGCAACGAAACATACGCCCACAGCAGCTAAATCGTCTGGGCAGTCAACAAGAGTTGTCGCATATTTCTACTTTTTTCGGTAATGAAACATTTATAATACACTAAAATCTGATTAAGAGCAACAACTCAGAAAACCATTAGAATTTGTTTGTTTTTTTATAAAGTTCTGCCCCATGCTAACGTTTTGTATACAAAACTTTTAATATCATGGATTTAGCTGTTCCAAGTCATAAAAATTCATTGAAAATCAATATACTTGTTCCTCTCAAGATCTTAAACTCTGTGCATCAATCTGAAGTCAATCGGATGATAACTTTAGCCTTTAGAGCATCACAAGATTTTGCAAAGTGATCAAGGGCCATAACTTTGGCAGTAATTATCGGAAATCGTTGAAAATCAATGAGATTCTTCGTCTCATGATCCTAAACACTGTGTATAAATTTAAGGTCAATCGGATATTAACTTTGGCCTCTAGAGCATCCACAAGATTTTTTGAAGTGATCAAGGGCCATAACTCTGGCAGTTATTATCGGAAATCGCTGAAAAAAATAGGCTTCTTCGTCTCATGACCTTAAACACTGTGTATAAATTTAAAGTCAATCGGATATTAACTTTGGCCTCTAGAGCTTCCACAAGATTTTTTTAAGTGTTCAAGGGCCATAACTCTGGCAGTAATTATCGGAAATTGCTAAAAATCAATAGGCTTCTTCGTCTCATGACCTTAAACACTGTGTATCAATTTAAAGTCAATTGGATATTAACTTTAGCCTCTAGAGCGCCCACGAGATTTTTTGAAGTGATCAAGGGCCATAACTCTGGTAGTAATAATCGGAAATTGCTGAAAATCAATAGGCTTCTTCGTCTCATGACCTTAAACACTGTGTATAAATTTAAGATCAATCGGATATTAACTTTGGCCTCTAGAGCGTTGACAAGATTTTTTGAAGTGATCAAGGGCCATAACTCTGGCAGTAATTATCGGAAATCGCTGAAAATCAATAGGCTTCTACGTCTCATGACCTTAAACACTGTGTATAAATTTAATGTCAATCGGATATTAACTTTGACCTCTCGAGCGTCCACAAGATTTTTTGAAGTGATCAAGGGCCATAACTCTGGTAGTAATTATCGAAATCGCTGAAAATCAATAGGCCTCTTCGTCTCATGACCTTAAACACTGTGTATAAATTTAAGATCAATCGGATATTAACTTTGGCCTCTAGAGCGTCAACAAGATTTTTTGAAGTGATCAAGGGCCATAACTCTGGCAGTAATAATCGGAAATCGCTGAAAATCTATTGGCTTCTTCGTCTCATGACCTTAAACACTGTGTATAAATTTAAAGTCAATCGGATATTAACTTTAGCCTCTAGAGCGTCCACAAGCAATTGTGGACGCCGGACCGACGGACAGATGGACGGGGGCGACAACAATATACGACCACATTTAAATGTGGGCGTATAAAAACACCAATGACAGTGACAATTACGCTACCTACTTGGATCTGCGTCTCGTTTTTGACAATTGCCATAAACTGAGTGTTAAATTGTACGATAAACGTGATGACTTTGACTTTCCGATTGTTAACTTTCCATTTATTAGTAGTAACATTCCAATATCACCTGCTTATGGAGTGTTTGTGTCTCAGCTAATTCGTTACGCGAGAGCTTGTTCCTTTTATTCTGATTTTTTAAGTAGATCGAGGCATTTGTCATCTAAGCTTCAACTACAAGGATACTTGCGCACTAAACTTATTAAAACCTTTAAAAAGTTTTATGGCCGTCATATTGATTTGATTGGTAAATATACTATTCAAAAAAAGTAGGGGATATTTGATTTTGGGGGCATAATACTAAAATATGCAAATGACTACGAAAAAAGTCACTATAGAACCTAACAGAAGAAACATTTCCAGTTACATGTGACGCCCAAACGCACCAATAGCTACCGCATGGAATGCAGGTGATGCTTGGGATCATCATGGGGGTCCAACCCAAGATTTGCACGACTCTGACTTTGAATGTTACAGTCATTGTGGCATTGAATTCCAGGGTGGAAACATCAGTTTAATTGTTTTAGTGACCAGAAAACAAATTTTGATATGCGTCGGCTTACCCAAAATGAAAGGTTACGTGCCCTTGGCATGCTACAGATCGGCACAACACAGGCGGTTGTGGCGCGGACGATGAATGTTTCTCAGTCTGTCATAAGCAGGCTATGGTCCAGATACCGTGATACACAATCTGTACAGGACAGACCACGCTCAGGTCGACCAAGGGCGACAACTCAAGCCCAGGATCGATTTATCCGTACCTTGGCCTTGAGAAATCGTGTCATCACAGCAAATCAGATCACCGCACGTCTTCAAACAGACACTGGTGTGAGAGTGAGTGGCCAGACGATTCGGAATCGACTGCATAGGGGTCACCTTCGCGCCCGACGTCCTCGCGTGATCCCTTGTTTGAGAGATCATCACATTCAGGCAAGACGTCGTTGGTGTAGGGATCGTCAACACTGGGATAATCGACGCTGGAGCAATGTGATGTTTTCAGATGAGTCAAGGTTCACTGTTGATTTTTTGGACAGACGTAGGAGGGTGTGGCGTCGTCGAAACGAGCGCTTCCAAGACGTTAACGTCATCAGACATGATCGATTTGGGGGTGGTTCTGTTATGGTGTGGGGAGGCATCACTGTTGCTGGAAGAACGGCTTTACATGTTTTTGCAGGGCGTGTTACAGGCCAGTACTACCGGGACAACATCTTGGCAGTCCATGTTGTGCCGTTCGCACGACGTCATGGCCGCCGTTTCATCTTCCAGGATGACAACGCAAGATGTCACAGGGCCAGGATCGTTACAGGTTACCTCCAACAACAGAACATCACCACATTACCTTGGCCAGCACTGAGTCCCGACCTCTCCCCCATCGAGCATGTCTGGGACATGCTTGGACAGAGGTTACGTCAACGTCAACAACGTCCTGCCAATGTCCAAGAACTTGCTGCTGCGTTGCAACAGGAATGGGACAATCTGGACCAAAATGACCTTAGACGTCTCATTAGGAGTATGCCACGTCGGATCAATGCTTGTTTGGCAAACAGAGGAGGATTTACCCGTTACTGACTTGGTTGTGATGCTGTGGTAACTTTGCTGTTTGACCCCGGGTATCATTTTACCCTTATAATGGTCAGTCTGTGCCTTACTTAGTCTAACGATCATTTGGAATAAATCGATGAATGTGAACTTCATTTCATTTTGTCATTTGTTTCTTCGTCAGTTTCATTCGGTTACTTTAATAACACTTAAAAATCACATATCCCCTACTTTTTTTGAATAGTATATAACGTGTCTCTCTCGGCTATTATTCTAGATATATTTAATTGACATACTATTACTATCTCCCTGATACTACATCGTTAACACGGTTCATCGCGTGCATTTTGCATACCGATAGTTCATTGGCCAATCACGCTATTTTACCGACATTTGGCCGAATAGTTTGGATGCAGCTATGGCGGGTGTGCGCCAGGCAGGGTAAGCTTACTCTTCCGGACACCTGTTACCACTGTTTGTCGTGTATTTTGTACACGAGGAGCAGTCCATTTGCTGATTACACTATTTTGCTTGAATACACTATTTTGCCTATAACGTTAACACTGTTCATCACGTGCATTTTGCATACCGATAGTCCATTGGCCAATCACGCTATTTTACCGAAATTTCGCCTAATAGTTTGGATGCAGCTATGGCGGTGTGGCGCCAGGCAGGGTAAGCTTACTATTCCGGACACCTGTTACCACTGTTTGTCATGTATTTTGTACACAATGAACAGTCCATATGCTGATTACATTATTTTGCCTTATTACACTATTTTGCCTATACCGTTTTTTTAGGACTTCGAATTTTGTCTAATGGTTTGGATTGTTCATACTTGGTTTTATTTTATTAATAGTAAAATAAGTGTTTGATTTGAGCTCTACTTCTGGTACATGTTCTTAAATGGGTTCTAATGTCCTATTTTTCTGTACTGAATGGGCTTTAACGTACTACTTTTCTGTTCCAAGTGGGCTAATGAAAACTGGTATACGCCATACAGTGTGTTATGTGGGAAATTTAGCCCGAATAACAACACTATGCAAGGCTCTACATGGCGACTAAAACACTCGCCATGGCGACAAAATATATTTTCTGGCTAGTTAAAATTTTCACTTGAGTCGCCAGCTAGCGACTGTAAGTTTTTTTTCTCGTTTTTTAAATAATTACAAAGTTTTTTTTTACAAAGTTTTTTTTTACAAAGTTTTTTTTTACAAAATTGAATTTGTTTATTCAGCGCTTCGTAAAACCGGAACTTACTAGGGGAAATAACTCCAATTTAACGACAATATTTACGACATTCATATATTTTCTTACCATGTGCCGAAAATCATTCTAACTTCTAACTTACGGCAATGTATACAAAATGTCCGACTACGCATGTTGTTGACCCATTTTTCTAACCCATACATTAAAGTTATTCCCTATATATTAATAAAATGAATAAAAAACAAAATCTTTTAAGCTCTTTCTTTAAAAAAAAAGGAAGATTCCTCTCTGACACAGATTAAAAAAAACAACGCGTAATATTTAGTAGTGATTTACGTTACAGACTACAGTTAATAGCATTGTAATTTCTGGCTACTAAAATTTTGGTGCTGGCTAGTAAATTTTTAGCATTTAGTAGCCAGTGAAGACTAAATTTTCCATGCCGATATTGACCCTTGACACTATGGCCTACTATTATTTCAAATTTCAACTGCTGATGGTTCTTTTATGTGCACGCCAATGTGTACACAGGACCTATGACGCCATCAGGTTAAAAGCAGCTCGTATGACCCCTGATGCAACCCCCCACTACAACTGGTCAGATCTTCATGTAGTAGAGGCCATCGAAAGTAAAAAAAATAACGAAATGAAATATAGATCTGTATTTTAATCAGATTGCTTTAAAGGTGTTTGTCTTCCGTATGTGATGTAATTATATGTTTCTGTAGGCTACGGTTAGATTTAAATAGTTTACTACAAACATCGCATTTAAAAAGTTTATCACTAGAATGTATCTTAACGTGTGTTTGAAGGTAGCGGTTTATAGAAAAAGATTTACCACAAACATCACATTTATATGGTTTATGGTCAGTATGAGTTTTCATGTGTTCATTTAAATAACAATCAAAGATGAAAGATTTCCCACAAATATCACATTTATAAGGTTTATCTCTCTCGGTACGATCATGACATTTCATATGTCTCAGGAGATTTCCTCTCACAACGAATGATGTATCGCAAATGTCACATTTATGTGATTTCTCCCCAAAATGTGTTTTCAGATGGGTGCGAAGAGTACCACTTTGAATAAATGCTTTACCACAAACATCACATTTATAAGGCTTCACTCCAGTATGAATTCTCTTATGTCGCTTTAAACCATTTATGTCATAAAATGATTTACTACAGACATCACATTTAAATTGTCTTTGTCCTGTATGAATTCTCATGTGGTCCTGAAGAATAGAATTTCTGGTGAAAGATTTACAACAAACAGAACATGCAAAAAGTTTCTCTCCAGTGTGTAATGGAGTGTGTCTCTGAAGACTGCCTTTGTGAAGAAAAGATTTATTACAAACATCACATTTATAGGGCTTTTCTCCAATATAAAAAATTGAACTGTTTAATGTGGAATTATCATTAACAGATTTCAGTTCTTCGTCCTTCATGTGGACTTCACAGTGTTTCTCTAAATCAGTGGAAGATTTGAAGTTTTTATCACACAAATTACACTGCTGCAATGTATGAACACTAGCTTTACCCTGTGCATGGCACTCTTTGTCAATGTCATAATCTGTTTTCTCTTCTTTAACATGTACTTTATTGTGCTGTACCAGATCAGCATACTGTTGAAAAATCTCATTACATATTGCACACTGGTGAAATGTTATTGCATTATTAGTTTCCTGTAATATATAAAAGTCATAACATCATTAGTTTGCTTTAATCTATAATAATTATAACATTATTAGTTTCCTGTAATCTATAACAGTTACCCATAAATATCAAAGCCTGATTAAACTCTCGGATTATCCACTGCCTACGTTTTTTTCTGTGGTTTTTATCTCAGAAACTGTTGCATGTTAAAGCTCACCATCAAGTTTATCAACATATACATCAAGTGCTCATTAGTGCTAAGAGATCAGACAATCTTCGCATGCAACCTTTGACTTCACTCAGGATGCCAGTTAGGGAAACCCTTACATTTTTGTCCTGTATGCACTCCATGGGTGTTTTTCAGGGAATCCAGTATTTTTTAAGTAAGATTGGATATTTCTACTTTCCTTACACACCAATATTGGCATACTTTTATTGCAAATAACCACCCAATAAATATTTTTGTGGGAAAGTATCTTTAAATGATAGTTTTTTATATATAGTCCAAAATGTGTACAGTGTACAGTGCACATTAATTTCCTTTGTGCACTTATGCACAGACTGCAGCGAAAAATGTTTGTCATTGGATGGACTGTTAATAACCATGAGTTATTCACTTTTGTATTATTATGACAAAACTTAAAGAGCCCCCCCACCCAATCAACCTTCACTTTGTGTTCATGGGTGCTTTACAATGTCACAATGTACAAAATAAAACCATAAAAGAAACTAAATAAAACCAAGACCTAGAAAAATTGCACAGTGTACACAAGAGAGTTCACATAAAGAGAGGAATGGAGAGATGGGGTTTTAACGCCTACTCAACAAAAACTAGGTCATTTCGGGACTAACATGGTTCAATTTTATTTCAAATAATTTGTTTGCGTGTAAGTGTCTCCGGAGGACATGGATAAAATCCACGAGGTTAACAGCTAGGTGACCCTACTCATTGTATCAATGACAGATCTTCTGATACAACACGCACACATTAACCATTTGGCCACATAACCCAACTGCATGCACATTAAGGAACCCATGGCCTATGCAAGAGTATAGAAATGACACTAACCAGGCAAAATCCCCCTAATAGCACATTTCGGTATTGGTTAGCACAGACAAGTACATGTAGGATGTTAAACCCCATGGCATTTCTAATAGAATGTTGGAGATTCTATTTTTTCGGAATTGTGAGAATTCCTTAAACTGTTTAATTATGTGTTTTCAGTTTTACTCACCTCAGCCTGGCTATATATTTTACTGTCATTGGATTCACTAAAACAAACTTTAGGCATTAGAATATCATCCTCTTCTACTTTCATTTCTTCCTTTATGTGTATGTCACTTCCTGTATCTGAGTGTCCTTGAGTCAACGGTATTACCAGACCTTCTTTCGTGTTTGATCCTACAACCGGTTGTCCTGGAATCATCTCTTCTGTTATACCAGAATTTTCTGGGGTGCTTTCTTCTATACTTGGTTGTCCTACAGCACTTGACGCTGGTAATGTCATTGGTAATAGAAAATGAGTTTGAGATGAAATACATGTAGATTGTCCATTTTCTGTCTGTGTTCTTTCTGTCACTTGAAACACAACTGCAGATGAATTTGATGAGTTCAAAATTTTGTTTATAGCAAAATTCATGGGCATTTGGTTTGAAGATTCTAAGCCTTTCGTGGGTGGAGAAATTGGTAAAGGCTGATTTGAACTGTTTTTGAGGTTCATAGTAACTGAATGTACTGTTTTATTCTTAGTTGTGTTTTGGGGATCAGGTGGAGAGAAGGGTAAAATATTCTGCATCCTGCTAATTGAGCTTGATGCCAACACAGGTACATGTATAATACTCTTTGGCATTATGATATCATCCTCTTCACATTCCATATCCGTATCTTCCTTTATACCAATTCCTGGATTTGGTTGTCCCGGAGCACATGTAGTTTGTGTTGGTAATGCCATTCCTTCATTCGTACCAATTCCACAAATTTGTTGTCCTTTAGTAGTTTGTGTTGGTAATGTCATTCCTTCATTTGAACCAATTCCAAGATTTTGTTGTCCTTGAGTAGCTGGTGTTGTTAATGTCATTCCTTTATTCATAGCAATTTCTAGAATTTGTTGTCCTGGTTTAGTTTGAGGTGGTAATGTCATTCCTTTCTTTATGTCCATTTTTGGATTTGGTTTTCCTTGTGTAGTTTGTGCTGGTAATGTCATTCCTTCATTTGTACCAATTTCAAGATTTTGTTGTCTTGGTTTAGTTTGTGTTGGTAATGTCATCCCTTTCTTTATACCCATTTTTAGATATGTTGGTAATGTCATTGCTTCCTTTATACCAATTCCTAGATTTTGATGTCCTGGAACAGTTTGTGTTGGTAATGTCATTGCTTCATTTATTCCTGTTTTTAGGTTTGATTGTCCTTGAGTAGCTTTTGACCGAAATGTTACCTCTTTCTGTATGCCAATTTTTGAACTGGAATGTTCTTGAGACTGCAACGATGTTGGTATTTCCAAACCTGATGAATTCAAATTTTTTATTGAGCCTGGACTGACTTCGCGCTGTGACTCTTCACCTAGCTTTGATATATTTGCGGATTTTGTACTTTTGACAGGCGATGAACATGGTATGGTATTTAAATTATTGTTCAAGTTCACAGTAACAGGCACAGGATTACTCTTCATCAGAATGGGCGAATTTGACGCAGGTAAAATACAACGGAAACCTTTAACTTGAGATTGTGCAAAGGTATTTGGTCGCTGAACAGTAATTATTTGGTTTTCTGGCGTTTTTCCCTTATTCTCTACATGTATGCGTCTGAGATCTTCACATATTTCTGATCTCTTTTTTCTTATCTCAACCAACCTGGTTTTCAAAACTTGATCATAATGTTTGATTCTTTTTATTTTGTAGCTACAATGTTGACAAGCATAAGTGTTTTTTTCCCGTGTGGGCGTCATTCCAATCGCAATTATAACTTCATCAAATTCATTGACCATGGATGAGGTTATTATTCTGTATGATCTGTCTCCTAAACCGCCATAACACACATCACAGTATCTTGTTGTGTGAGTGAGCGTGTCCATTCTTTTATTTTATATAATTAAGCTATGTTTTGTTATGTAAACTGTGTTATGGTATATGGTGGCACACGTAGGCCTATCTATTAATGTACAATGGTAAATATTGTAGGCCTATCTATTGTTTCTTATTGTAGAGTAGTAGGCTACACAGTATAGGCCTATCTATATTTGCTATACGTTTTATTGTTTATTGTGTGGCAGTACACACTGTAGGACTATCTATCATTTGTTATTGTATGGTGGTACAACTCAGGAATGGAAGGAAACTGCAGAACAAAATATTTAATACATGAAATATATAATCCAGTGGTAAGTGCACTTCCACTTCCAGTCATTAGGATTCAACACTAAATTCAGAGTTTTGTCTTAAGTCTTAAATATCTACTTTGAAGAATTAATATTCTGGTTCTTGTACAGTTTAAGATTAAAAAACCTCAGCAAAACACTGTATTTATACTCAATGTTAATGTTCATATCGTAGTCTGGAATATTTACTGTCGACAATTAAATAATGACAAACAAAAACGTTGATCGATGTGAAATGTATGCTTCGGGTAGACGTTAGATCCTAGTTACACATTGATATAAGTTACATATCCTTTCTTCAACAACGCAGTCGCAGGGGTTTTTTTCTTACCGTTTTATACATTGCTTGTTACTTTATTTTGGATGAATACCAAGTAAATACCGTCTTTCATTTTAGACCCAGTCAAAGAACGGCAACCATCTTTAGAAAATCTGACATATCCGGTATCAACGTGTAATATAAATTGATGCGAATCACACCAACGCGAGTAACTCATGTTTATATAAAACCGTTGGACGTCACAAAGTATTAAGTGGGGGGGGTAATAAATAAATAACAATACTAAGGCACTAATAAGTATTATGAATCTCTGTGTAGAAAAACTGATAGGCCAAAAGGTCACTGTTTTATCTTAAACTGGGATACAGTCTGCATCCAGGACTGGTTGATGCCATCTGAACCTGCAGTATTTTTTAAAAACAATTAGTGAACAATTAAACAATCAAAATCTTGATGGGGGTGATCGAGAAGTAGACCGAAATATAGCATCATATTCCAAAACACATTACAAAATATCAGAATAGGGCCTAGGCCTATTTACACTTTAAAAATTGTGAAATAAATTCAACAAAAAGGGTCATTTCTAATAATATATCATTACAACACATTGAATTCCATTAAAGTCACTTAAAACCATAAATAAGTGGATGTTGCTTGAACAATTTAAAAAGGTTAGGTAGAGTATGACCTGCAGGATATCGGCATACTTTGAATAAATCAGTTACCTAACAAATGACTTTTCAGGGAATTTGTGTGTATAAAATTTACAAGAATGAGGTTTAACTCCACTTGACACAAACTAGGTCATTTTGAGACTAACATGGTTCAATTTTATTTAAATAATTTGTTTGCGAGTAGGGGTCTTTTACAATGGGAGGAAAGATTACCTGGGGAAAACCCGAGGTTGGACAGACAACTCTACTCCTTGTCACGTACAATCTTAATGGAATCGAGACCACGCTCAATAATGATAAATAGACTTTGCTAATGTAATTAAGAAAATAAAATAGACATTAAACCACAAGTCCTGAACCCACCACAGAAAATAAATATATTAGAAGATTATTATAGAAATATTTATAAATTTATGTTTTTGTTTTTGTCTCAATACAACTTTTTTGTTGATTACATTTACAATAATATAGACATGTTTCATCAAACTCCTGAAATAGAACCAAAAATCACTGATGAATGAGCTATGCTTACAATGTATATACAATTTCAAGTATAATGTTGTTGCCCCTTTCTGTCCATCCATTCACAATTTGTTTGTAGACACTCTACAGGCGTTACCATTTTTATCCGATTTTGACAAAACTTGAAATATAGGTTAATATCCCCCAAAATCTTGGTACCTTTCGATATTGGAATGTATCGGACCGTAAGTTCACAGATTACAGCCCCTGATTGTACGAAAAATCACATGGCCCCCTAGAGGCAATAATATTTATCCGATTTTGATGAAACTCAAAAGATATGTTTATGATCTCAGTTCCTTTCCATATCAACACATGTCGGACCATAGCATCCTTGATCATGGCCCCTGATTGTATGTAAAATCAAATTTTTAGCCCACCTCTTGAAAAATGTGGGTGTGTATTGCATAGCAACCGCTTGTTTTTAATTTCATATACATGTATAAGAGACCCATAATATTTCGCAGAGAGAGAGAGAGTCATTTTGGGACTAACATGGATCAATTTCATTTCAATAATTTGCTTGTTCTTAGGGGTCTTTATAGCTGTGGCAGTGTGAGGAAACCAGAGGAACCAGAGAAAACCCACATGGTTGGACAGGCCACTCAGCTCTACTCCTTGTCACATACAAGGTTGGAATCAAAACCACACCACTTGACTCAATGACAGACCTTACGATCAAACCCGCACATATTAACCATTAGGCCACCCAAACCACCATAGATGCCAGCACCCGAATCCACATCCTCGGTTACCCAGTGTACTCATTCCGTTCTACTCCACTACACCCTGGGTTAATCTATGTGGGAGACACGTTTTCAAGTTATCCGCCCTTGATGATCGTGCTATTTTTATCGACCAATCCCATAAATTGTTATTTGAAAAGGAAGTTGGAAAAGGTAAGTAAATCTCATCGGACAATGTTAGGAGTTGGCCTATTCTAAATGCGTAATTATTAACAACCAATTATATATTATGTTAATGAAGACCAGAAGTTCATTTAATAATGTAGGGTCATTAGTTTTTTAGAATCGTTCGTTCTTTCCCGGAATTTTATGTCCACGTGATATTGTAGACAAGTTATTGTGAATCAAATTGCCAAGAATAAGTTCAATAATAATAAACATATTTCAGACAAAGAACGAATAGTAATAATAGTAACAAAAGTCAAACATATAGATGTTATACATATTTAAAAAATCAACAACACATACTACAGATTTTGATAATACAATTAAATATAAATAAATTATAAATATATACATTATTACATAAATCATTCAGTAAATGGGCATGAATATGGTTATCTACCCTTATAAAAACGAAGGCGAAACGATTGGTTTGTAAACTGTTTTCTGATTGCTTCGTAGACTGTAGCTACATTCTAGGCCAGGGCAGATAATTTGAAATCGTGGAAACCCTATGGATTAACCCTGGGTATAGTGGAGTAGAACGGAATGAGTACACTGGGTAACCAAGGATGCCGAATCCATGGCAGAAGAAGAAATACAGCTATTTCAAATAGGTGTGGTATATGGATTAAGTTTAGCCATCCAACAGATATTATAATGATCTGTCAGGGCAGAATAGTAGGACATTAAACCCTATTTCATTTCATTTATAATAATGACAAGACAGGATTATGAAATTTTTTGAAAGTAAACCAGCAACTGTCGGGTGTGAGCTAACCACATTCTGCCAAATATCCACGTCAAGGTTTATCCTCAAATGTGTCAGATGTGAAATGAAATGAAATAGGGTTTAACATCCTGGGGATCACGTGGCTAAGTGGGTAAGACGCTGGCTCGCTAGCCTGGAGGTCGGGTGTTCGATCCCTGCATTGGCAGAGAAAGTTCATTCAGATTTTCCAGCGTGGTTTCCCCTTGTCAGTGATGCAGGATGGAGGGCCTGACAAGGACAGCTGTCTAGTCGTTCGGATGGAACAAAAAACCAAGGTCCTGTGTACACATTGGCGTGCACGTAAAAGATCTCTTGGCAGTTGGAATTCGATATAAGAGTAGGCTGTAGCGCCGCAGCCCGGACAAAATTTCCCTCATAGCACACTGTATGGCGTATGCCCGTCTTCATTAGCCCAGGGTAGGAGCAGAACAGTAGGACGTTAAACCCCATTTCATTTCAATTTCATTTCATTTAACATATGACATACAGTGTGCTATGAGGGAACATTCGCACCAATTGCTGTTCTACATCCTACTCTTATTTCAAATTCCAATTGTCGAGGGTTTATATTTATATGGAACACCAAACAGCTCTTCATAGTCCTCAATTCTTATTTCTTCATTTGTTGTCGTATTTCCACATTTGTATACCAAAATTAACAGTTTGGTTCACGTCAAATATGGGAGCAGCATGGATTGATCAAATTTTCAATTCGTCAAATCTTTGTATATACTGAACGGAATTGAATCAGAATCATATTTGGACTGATATTCGTATAAGATAATCAGTGTTCACAACATTGTAGTTTGCAAGGGATTCTATAGCTCTAAAATCATGCATAGAGTCTTAAAAAAAACATTGTAGGGGGGAGGGGGGGGGGGGTATTGGAGAATCAAAGCGGTAAAGTTGCTCAGTAATTTTAAGATAGGTTGCCAGGCATTGAAACATACGCCCACAGCAGCTAAGTCGTCTGGGCAGTCAACAATGATTGTTGCATATTTTTTCTTTTGTCAGTAATGAAAACATTGACAACACACTAAAATCTGATTACCAGTAACTACCCAGAAGGTAATCATTAGAATTTGTTTCGTTTCTGTCGATAGTTATTGGAATTCGTTGAAAATGAACAGGCATCTTCGTCTCATGGCCTTAAACACAGTGTCAATTGAATATTAACTTAACCCTCTAGAGCGTCCACAAGCAAAACATTAATTGTCTTGTCTTGTGTAATTTCAGTTCAATGAAAATCACCTGCACAGCTTCTCAACACAAAATAAAATATACAAAAAAATATGAATTTTTAACCGAATAAGCTATCTCTGAATGTTTACAAGTTCATATTTTGCCGATAGCCATACATAGTTACGGCTTTGGTATACCATAGATAATGTAACAATACCTTTCATTAGCCAGAGACGTGTGTTTTTGATAATATCGTCCAATGAAAATTCAGATCTTAAATCAATGTCGGCATGCTAACGTCTACATTGTAAAGTATAAGAATACCTTTTATTGGATGAAAGTGGCACGAAACAGGTAATCTCATCGATATTAACCAATGACAAAGTGACTCTCATGTCAGTCATGGCTTGCGAAAAATCATCATGGTGGATATGGACCGACAGTTTCACACAATATCTGTAAGAAAGCAACTGTATTTCTTGACTGGATAATCAGTAGTGTGCCGTATAATTTTACTTTTGATGACATTGCCGAGTCGACATTCAGCAAAATTATGATATATAGCACCCCAAAACTGGTTTAAAACAGATTTGCCAGCAGCCCATTGTTGCCATAAATTTTTCGTAGGAAAATCAAAGGTAGATCAAAATATCTCTCAGATTGCGTAAAATTTATTTAAGCCAAAATAAAAGACATAAATTTAGATGCATTTTACTTTATTAAAGATACATTATGTAAGATTTAGATAAAGAGCTAGCTATTCTTGCTATAATAGTTCAAAAAAAGATTATGTAACATGAATAATTTGAAAATTTCATTCAAATTACTCTATTGCGAGCGAAGATATTAGTCTGTGAAGGTTTGACAAGACGTGTGCAATAATTTCAACCACCGTACTGATTGTTCGAGGCTAATGGCCTGGATCAGTTAATTAATTTATTCTCTTTGAATGGCATTTAGTAATTGGAACATAATCAAAAACACACTTTTATGGATAACAATTACTATGGTTTATTTCACTGCGACGTTTCAACAAGGTTTCACAAGTCGTTATCAAGCATATTCAACAAGGTTTCACAAGTCGTTATCAAGCATATATGCTTGATAACGACTTGTGAAACCTTGTTGAAACGTCGCAGTGAAATAAACCATAGTAATTGTTATCCATAAAAGTGTGTTTTTGATCAGTTAATTAATGTCTAATTAATAATTTAGAAAACATTTCAGGCCTAAAGAAAGACCTACAATACTATTGCAGCAATAGGCAGATTTATCACTTGCATAATGTATGTTTAAGTCTTTTATAAATTGTAGTTGTTTGCATGAAAATAACTCAAGTGAAAAATCATACATGAGAAAGCATACCAAATTCATAGTGTAAAGGCCTTGAAAAAGTTTGTCTTTATTGCACACCCTCTTAGGTTTACCCTGAGCAAGGGGAGAAGAAACAAGGTATCAATTTTACACGGCCGTATGATTATTTCATCCACCACAAAACGTATTTGAACCCACTAAATATCACAGGCATCCAATGGCATTGAGAAATGAGTTAATGTCTAATAATTTATACAAAATTTCAGGCCTAAAGAAAGACCTACAATAGGCAGATTTAGCTCTTACATAATGTGTGTTTAACTGCACAGTTTCAATGAGGATAATCTCACCATTAATAAACCTAGTGAATGTTATCCATAATGCTATCTGTTATTGTATATCACTTTCACTAAATGCCCTTTAAAGATATCACTTATTATCATCATTATAAATATCCAGCACTAAGTATGTGATTTCATGTGTCTCTCCAGATTTCCTTTCATCCGGAATACTGTACCACAAATATCACATTCATGTGATTTCAAATCTGAATGTGTTTTCTGATGGACACGAAGAGCGCCGCTTTGAATAAATGCCTTGCCACAAACATCACATACGTAACGTTTCTCTCCGGTATGAATTCTGAAGTGTCGTTTTAAACCATTGTTGTCATAGAATGATTTACCACAAACATCACATCTAAATTGTCTTTCTCCGGTATGTGTTCTCATGTGGTCCTGAAGAATCGTATTTCGGGTAAATGATTTGCCGCAAACATCACATTTGAAAGGTTTTTGTCCAGTATGTGATGGGGTGTGTCTCTGAAGACTGCCTTTATGGGTAAAAGATTTACCACAAATATCACATTTATAGGGTTTTTCACCAGTATGAATTTTCTTGTGTGCCTCTAGATTGTATTTGTGTGTAAATGACTTACCACAAACATCACATTTAAAAGGTTTTCCCCCAGTATGGATTTTCATGTGATTATATCTATACCTACGCTTACTAAATGATTTACCACAAACATCACATTTATAAAGTATATCTTCTTCTATTGTCTGTCCATTATCTTTAGGAAAACCACCATCAGGTTGCAAAGCTTTATCCTGTACATGGACTTCAAGGTGTTTCTCTAAATCTGTGCAAGATTGGAAGTTTTTGTCACAAAAATTACACTGCTGTAATGTATCAATATTAGATTTCTCCACTGTATCGCACTCTTCATCTGTGTCATCAGTTTTCTCTTCTTTAACATGTATTTTATTGTGGTCTACTAAATCAGCATACTGTTGAAAAATCTTGTTACATATTGCACACTGGTGAAATGTTATTGCATTATTACTTTCCTGTAATATATAAAATTTAAAACATAATTATTAGTTTCCTGTAATATATAAAAGTTATAGCATTATAAGATTTCTATAATATATAAATGTTGTAACAAATAACAGTTATAACATGATTAGTTGCCTGTTTAAGCATGTGACCATACATGTATCCCCATAAATTTGATTTCTATTTACCTGGACTTGACCAGTTATTTTATTATCACTGGATTCACTGAAATAAACTTTAGGCATTAGAATATCATCGTCTTCTACTTTCATTTCTTCCTTTACATGTATGTCAATTCCTGTATCTGATTGTCCTTGAGTCAACGGTATTAACAGACCTTCTTTTATGTTTGATCGTACAACCAATTGTCCTTGAGTCAACACTTCTGTTGTACCAGAATGTTCTGGAGTGCTTTCTATACTTGGTTGTACTACAGCAGTTGAAGCTGCTAATGTCATTGGTAACAGAAAATGAGTTTGAGATGAGATAGATTGTCTTAACTTACTCTGGGATCTTTCGGTCACTTGTAACATAATAGAGCGCGAGTCAGTTGGACTGACAGACAATGTATTCTTTGCCAAATGACTCAACTGATCTGTTGGCGTTAGTATATCGTCTTCTTCATATGTGATATCCTCCTTTACATATATGTCGGGTTCGAAATTTGGTTGATGATTGGTTTCTAGACTAGAAATATGATATCCTTGAGTAGTAGTTGTTTGTGTTGGCAATTCTTTCTTTATGCCACTTTCTAAATTTGGTTGTCCTTTGGGAACTGGTACTGATATTTCAAAACTTGAAGAATCCAAATCATTTTGTATGGTTAAATTCACAGGTACCGGAGCTGGTCGAATATTATGTATTAACGGTTTATTAACCTTTGATATTTTCGCTGATTTTCTGCGCTTGACAGATGATGAACTTGGTACAGTATTTAAATTATTATCGAAGTTGACAGTAACAGGCACAGGATTACTCTTCATCAGAATGGGTGAATTTGACGCAGGTAAAATAGATCGGAAACCTTTAACTTGAGATTGTGCAAAGGTGTTTGGTCGTTGAACAGTTATCATGTGTTCCTCCAAAGTTTTCCTCTTATTCTCGGCATGCATGCGTCTCAAATCTTCACACAATTCCGATCTTTTCTTTTTAATCACATCCAACCTTGTTTTCAAAATGTGGTCATACTGTTGAAGTCTTTTCATTTTGTAGCTGCACTGGGTACAAGCATTGGTCCTTTCTCGTGTGGGTGTCATTCCAATCTCTATCATGACTTCATCAAATTCATTGACCATGGAAGAGGTTAGAATTCTGTAGGATTTACTTCCTAAAATGCCATGACATACATCACAGTATTTTGCTATGGGTGTCGCCATATTTTCTTAATTCTTTCTCTTTATGCAATATAATATCCTCTACTATCTACTAAAAAACTGTATTATGACATATGTATCTGCAGACTCAAATGCCCTATTCTTTGTTATGGCAAGATAAGACATTTCTTGTACTGAGCAGCCCATTGGCCATACAAAAACAAGAACTGAGTTTGTTTCAATCGACTTTACCAGGGAGTAAAACATAAAAAAAATAACAGACAAAAAACAAAAACACAAAACATTGGAAAACGATGCCAACTAACTTCAAACCGAATTCCAAACTACATAAATATTAATGTTTATTTATCAAATTATTTGTAGTCAATGTACACCTATTTCAGCTGCTCGCAAAACTCTCACTGAACTGTCATTGAATGGTTGAATTGATTATTGAAAGGCGGCTTTTTCTGATTCATTTCGTGTTCTTTTCAGTTGCAAGCAGGAATGTTCTGCATTCTTTCTTAAAAAAAAAACAGTCGTGGAGTTTTACTTGCCACAATAACATGCATTTGGCCTCAATTTATATTCAAGTAATTATGCAGTATTTATTGCACAATTTATTCCCTATAGAAAACGGTAGCCATCTTTACAAATAATGTCACATCCGGTTTTAATAAATAAATTATGATGCGAATCCCACTAACGCGAGTAACTCACAATCGCAGAAAACTGTACGAGATGGTTTTCATAAATAATTAATAATGACATAGTGTTTAGATCAAGCCGTTATTGATGTATGCCTACCACGGGCCCCCAGGTCACTATTGAATTCGCCATTGACCAGCAGAAAATTTGACTATCTGAACACATTTCGTCGATTGTAAGCCAAAAATGTGAAAAAAAGAAAAAAAACAAAAAAAAAACATAAACATTAACAAACGATTTTTCAAACCACATGCCGTAGTTAAGCTAAACTACATAAAATCCCTGTCACTGAAACCTTTGATTTGTTCAAACATACTGGGCTGTTTGGTTGGTTAAAGCAGCTAATTAAACCTCTAACTCAATATATTTTCCATAAATTTGAAATTAAAAAACACGAATTAGAATGCAATATTGGTACATTTAAAAAAATATTGATGTTATCTTGAAAATATAGGATCCATGCAATATTTAAGACACAATGAAAACTGTATCACGTATCAGTACATGAGTCATGTATTCAATGGTTTGGGGCGCTGTTTGTAATGAACAAAGAAAAACATAGGCCTATCCTACAAGACAAATCCGGAAGTAATTGGTAATGACTGATTCACGGACCTCAAAATAATAACAAAAAATGTGTAGAATGGACTAAACAGGTCCATTTCAATGACTCATTCAATTTTGACTGTTCATGTATTATAAATTATGTCATTTGTACATACACATTACATTAATATGTGCTTTTAAACCCATTTCTGTCTATTTTAAAGTTCCAAAGAATAGAGACATGTAACTTTTAAAGCGATACTTTCAGATTTATATTGGCCGAGAAAGTTCATCAGGATTTTCCGACGTAGATTCCCCTTGTGAGTGGTACAGGACGGAGGACCTGGCAAGGACAGCTGTCTAGTCATTCGGATGAGACGAAAAACAGAATTCCCGTGTACACATTGGCGTGCACGTAAAAGATCCCTTGACAGTTGGAATTTGATATAAGAGTAGGCTGTAGTATGCCCGTCTTCATTAGCCCAGTTCGGAGCAGAACAGTAGGATGTTAAACCCAAGGCCATTATAACTAGCTCAGAGCAACGAGGGGGAGGGGAAGTGTTTTCAAGGTTGCTATAAAATTGACGGACACTGTATATCTGGATCTGGGTTTTTTTATGGTCGACCTTTAATTTGAATAAAGAGTTAATTTTGTCCATTTTTACATATCTAATCTCTCCCTTTCTTGCATTTATCAGTATTAGGCCGTATACTTGTATCTTGGGGCAAACCACACTGACCCGCAGTGAATATTCGCTAGGCCACGGCAATCACTGATAAGGATGACATCGATGCGACTTAATGAGCCACAAATATTAACTTTTTTCCTCCGACAAATTAAATTCCAAAACATTTTTTTATGTATTAGAAAAATAAATAAAGACGTTTGAAGTTTTTGTAGGTAAAAAATTATTTCCTATGTTAGTGTAAATGGGTATTAAAATGAGTAAAAGGCCCCATTCTGCTCGAATCAGAAACGTCTTATGTAAACAATGCACGCGCCATTGAGCCAATGATTGACGCTGCGTGATATGACGTCATGTGTTGAAGGCAGTCATCTTTTACAGAGATATTGGAAGGCTTTCGTCATACTCTGTAAAACAGATTGGGGTGCGACCTTTCATGTTAATTAAATTTCTAAGGGGTCACTCGGGGCAAACCAGCATTATTCTCTCCTTAATTACACCGACCACTAGGAATTTCATTCTTAAGTTGATGATAATGATTTCTGATATTATTCCGCACAATTTAGGCTTGGTTTCATACTCGCACCTTTCATGTTATTTAAATTTTAATTATCGATGGGGGGGGGGGGGGTCAAGTGATATTCTCGTTAATTTGGAGATTAGGTCATTAATTTTATATCTCATATTTGTCCTCCTAGCAGTATGAAACATGTCCATGTAGTTCTGTGTAACATACCTGGAATAGGTCACCAGATAACGGGAAAAACGTTCAGAATAAAATCGAAAAATTGCTAATTGATGACCTTTGACCTCTTCTTAAGTGGCCTTTCCACCACAAATCCCATTCTTAAGTTATATTTCTTAATTCAGAGCACATTCCTCTATCAAATGCCACTGAAGTGGAACTTGCATCTTCCATGTTGAATAAACCAATTTTGGGGGGTACTATGGGTGGCTCCATCTACCACACCCACCACTGCCGCAACTTAAGAATTGGGTTTCTGGGGTCTCCTAACCTAGCCATACATCACTAGCAACCCAAACCTTCCGCACCTTCCATGTTGAACAAAACCCATCTAGCTCCCGGACTAATACTTCGAGAATGAATCTGTCTTGAATGGCCGTCATATACAAAATTTAGTATTGTTTTGTCATTCGGTTGTACTCCGTTTATAGCATACACACACAGACTAAATAAACCTATTCAATTCCATTAAATATATTTCAAAATTTTCGAAGTATGCTTAGTGTTTTCGACTAAAATCGTCGATATAGGACTTAAAATGTCTTTCAACTAGCTTAGTGTCTCTTCTCAAGCGGAGCTAACTGTAGACAGGTTACTACGTTTAGTATGCGTGTAGGCCTATACATTTAAGATTTTAGCGAGGTGTTATTGTGCAATAGATATGCACCGAGATAAGTATGGCCAAAGACTCATATCAGCTTTATTTAATTAGTTAAATCTAATGTTTTACCATTTCCATGCTTTGTTTACTATTGGTTGTTTTTCATTATGACTGTCTGGAATGGTGCGAATCAACCCCAATCCGATATACAATGTCAGCTTTGTTTACAGTATGGACATATTGCAAAAGACTGTCTTGTTTTAGAACACAGGAAAAAAAACCAAAGTTAACTGTCAAATATGTGGCAATCCCTCGCATAATGCTCAGACTTGTCCTATTTAAACTAAATAAGCCTGAGCCTACAGCGCCACTCTCAGGCTCGGTTAATCACTTAGAGCGCAATGTATGTGACTATGAGAAATCTATTAGTTATGATAGAACAACTAATTTTATGTATCTAAATGTTTTTATTGCAACCTATCACGTTGCTGCACTTTTAGATAGTGGCAGTTCTGTAAATGTAATGTCGAAGAATTTTTATGATTGTTTACCTGAGTCAGCTGTTCGCAATTTTCAATTTTGCAATGAGAATATTTTGTTGGCCAATAGTCAAACTATTTCTGTGTATGGTACTGCCGAGATTGAGATATTAGTTAAAGGTTCTAATAATGTTTTTATTTTTGTGTATATATTTGAAAGTTCTTTGCATCCATTACTGCTAGGTACAGAATATATGAAGGCTAATAATATAAGTATTAATTTTAGGAAAGCAGCTCAGTTTAATAGTGTAAAATCACAGTTTAATGTCAAAAGTAATGTATGTATTGACATTAAGCCACGATCAGAAAGTATAATTCCCGGTAAAATATGTGAAGGTGTACCGATAGGTATTCAAGGTGTGTGTAAAGGACATTCTGAAATATTGCATAAAGGATTATTTGTTGCAAAAGCAGCTGTAACTTGCAATTTAGATTCCATTGTGCCTATTCAAATTTTGAATCCTGGTAATACAAAAGTCACTATTAAAAGTGGCGATATTTTAGGTTGTTTTAAACTGGCTGATAATTATTTTGATTTTATTTCCTGTTCTCATTTAGACATAAAGCCACGTTATAGTCCTATCAGTACACCTAATTCTGATCTAGTAAATAGTAAGTTAATATCTGATTGTTCAGACAGCTCACATGCTGAACGGGTTGAGTTAGACTGGTCTCTTTTTAATATTAATCCTGAGTTGTCTGATAATGAGAGTGACAAGCTCAAAAGTTGTTTGTCTGAATTTAGTGATTTATTTGTTACTGGGGAAAATCCAAAACTGGGCTTGACTCAACTTGTTCAACATGAAATTCATCTAAAGTCAAACTTTGTTTCAAAACATCAACGGCCTTATAGATTGACTCCTGACAAAAAGAGGTTTTGCGCCACCAATTAGATCAATTATTAGATCAGGGGATTATTATCCCTGTTTCGGAGTCAGAGGATGTGCCTATCACTAGTCCTATTGTTTTAGTAGCCAAACGTAATAAGCCAAAATTAGATCCGAATAACATAACCCGCGAGTCAAGTTTGTCATCATTTAGATTCTGCGTTGATTTCAGATACCTTAATTCACAGACTAAGGAATTTCGGTATACTATTCCTGATTTACAGGATTTGACAGAATCGTTTGGCAAGAATACGCCTAATTATATTACCTCCCTTGATTTATCCTCGGGATTTTTTCAGATGCCTATATCAGAGCAGTCAGCTAAATATACTGCATTTAACACATGTTTTGGGACTTTTAAGTTTCTCAGATTACCTATCAAATTCATTCCAATTATTAATGGACAAAGTTTTGTCTGGCCATACATTTATTTCAGTGTTATGCTATTTAGATGATATTTGTATAATTTCTAGTACATTTGAACAACATTTACAGGATATTAAGAATGTTTTTAATAGGTAAAAGTGTCATTTTGCTCAAAACAAATGTATTTTTTTGGGACATGAGATAACTAAAGATGAAATTCGACCACCCAGTGATCGGTTAGATATAATTATGAATTATAGTGTTCCCAAATCTCGAAAGACATTACAACGGGCTTTAGGACTATTTAACTGGTTTAGAAAATTTATTTGTAACTATAGTGCTATAGCTTCACCTTTATATCATCTCCTTAAGCAAGGAGTACCATATCAGTGGACAGATGAGTAGGACATTGCGTTTACAAATCTAAAATATACATTAAAGTCATCTGATGCTTTAGCATTCCCTCGTTTTGATTTAGACTTTAAATTGTCAGTTGATACCAGCTGTAAGGGTATTGGATACATGCTACTACAGAAACATGAAGATGACAGAGAGCG